GGCCTGTTACAGGTGTCTAGCGGGTGGTCACTTTGTGCACACTTAGTTGGGGGATTGGGTATATGTCTGGGTGAGTAGTCAAGATCTACGTCATCAAGCTGGCTATTGTAGTCAGTCGTAATTCGTGAGCCGCTACTTAGGATGGCCGATTGTAAAATTGTTGGGTGTTTGGGGTCAGCCGCACTGTCTAAATACTGCTCACAATATTCGGTGCTCTTTTTGGGACTGACAAATGATGTCGACTCTAACAGCATGTGACTGCTCTTATTTATATCGACAAGCGAGATGCAAGGTAGTGATATGTCTTGTCCAAGTAAAGGGTGCACGTTTAGTGTGGCTGAGGGAAGATCAGAGTAGGATGCAGACTGATCAGTGTGTTTATAAGGTTTCGCATTATTCGCTTTAGTGACTGATTTAGATCTTTTGCAGGTGCTATAGGCATCTGGAGAGATTATATGTTTTTTAGATGGCCTGGACATTATTGGAAGTAATGTTAATTCAAAGTTTAATTAGGTGGATGGCGATAGCTGTAATTTAACTTAGTGAACGTGTAAAGTTTTATGGTAGGATCAGACCCAGTATTAGTTAAGAGTAAATATATTACAGTTAATTGGTGATAGTGATAGCGTGAAAACTAGCAATATTAGTTTATGAGGTTGAGTTCCTAAATAAGGTGTAAAGTTAATAGAACCCTATCAGTGACGAATTATTTATCGCTATCAAGTGTTAAATTAAAGAGAAAAACTGATAGGAAAATAAAATAATACCACGTGAAAAAAAGTTACAACCTTCAAAAGCGCGCCTCACAAAGATCTGGTACAACTCATTACAACTGTCTTTTCAAAATATCGACTTGGTTAAAGCTTATAACCAAATTCCCATGGCCACTGACGACATACCGAAAACAGCTATCATCACTCCCTTCGGACTCTATGAATTTTTGCGAATGCCTTTCGGTCTAAGAAACGCTGCGCAAACATTCCAGAGATTCAAATACGACGTTTTTCGAGGTCTCAACTTCGTAAATGCGTATGTTGATGACTACCTAATCGCAAGTCCGGACAGACAATCACATCTCAAACATCTGGATCTTGTTTTCGAACGATTACAAAAACATGGCATTACTGTAAACTTTCAGAAATGCCAAATCTGGACCGACTCGTTAGACTTCCTAGAACACACTATCGATGCTCAAAGCATTCGACCTCTTAGGACCAAAGTGGTGGCCATTCTGGATTAACCAGAACCGACCAACGTCAAGCAACTACGCATGTTTAACGGCCTGGTAAGTTTCTATAGACGCTTCATACCGAAATGCGCGTTACTTATGAAACCTCTTACCGACCAACTTCGTGGAAATGTGAAATCCATTAATTTGAACGACACCGCACGAAAAGCATTCTCCACAATTAAGAAACTGATCGCTAAAGTAACAATGCTCTCACATCAAGACACCGAAGCACCCATTAGTATCGCAGTAGACACATCCGACTCAACAATCGGAGGAGTCTTACAACAATGGGTTAACAACTCCTGGCAACCTTTGGCATTGTCTCTAGACGGTTGCTAGACACCGAATCGAGGTACAGCACATTCGGTAATGAACTCCTAGCTATATATTGTGCTATACGGCATTTCCAACACTATATCGAACGTCGTGAATTCACTCTTTTCACGGACCATAAACCACTCACTTTCTCGTTAAGATCTCCTTCTGACAAGTACTCTCCCCGTGAGTCTCGACAACTGGACTACATTTCGCAGTTTACTTCAGATATTCAACATATTTCTGGAGCAAACGATCTAGTTGCAGACGCCTTGTCTCGAATAAATTCCTTGAACACTTTCCAAGGAATCGACCTTCTAAAACTCACCGAGCTTCAAAAAGAAGACACTGATCTTCAGCCCGAGTTATCGTCCACGGCCGTTAATTTACGCATCAAACAGATGGGAACTGGTAAGGAAACCTTACTTTGTGACACATCTACAGGTAGGGATCGCCCAATCGTCCCGAAACATTATCGACGCAATATCTTCAACACATTGCACAAACTTTCTCATCCAGGTGTTCATGCAACCATCAAGCTCATAGCAGAACGGTTTTGCTGGCCTGGTATGAGTGAAGACGTGAGGGAGTGGGCACGCTCCTGTGTAAGCTGCCAAAAATCTAAGGTCATCAGACACAATAAATGTCCCTTAGGCTCATTTAAAACTCTCGATGCTCGTTTCGACCATGTTCATCTGGATTTGGTAGGACCTTTACCAGATTTAAATGGATACTCTTACCTCTTAACCTGTGTAGATCGTTTCACTCGATGGCCAGAAGCAGTACCTATCAAGGACATCACTGCTGAAACCGTGGCCCGAACCTTCGTCGAACGATGGGTAGCAACCTTCGGTTGCCCTTCAACCATCACTACAGACCACGGACGTCAGTTTGAGTCTGAACTTTTCCGTCGTCTGACCACACTATTAGGAAGCACTCGCTTCCGAACGACCGCCTACCACCCACAAGCAAACGGGTTGGTAGAACGCTTTCACCGACAACTAAAAGCTTCACTATCAGCTGCAGACGTTTCACAGTGGACCGACGCTCTTCCACTCGTCTTACTAGGTATCCGCAATGCAGTGAAAGCTGACATTGGATACAATGCTCAACTCGTTTATGGAACGACACTCCGACTTCCAGGAGAATTCGTGGATCCTTCATCCTCTTCAATGAACATGGATCTAACCTCCTACACGGACGGGCTTACAAACGCAATGCGTTCAGTTAAACCTGCTTCCACACGACCACAATCAACCGATGTTTTCGTTCAACCTGACTTACGATATAGTACACACGTTTTCGTTCGTCGAGACGCACATCGACGACCATTCGAATCAGCGTACGAAGGACCTTTCAAAGTTCTTCAATGCGAATCTAAGTACTATATAGTCGATAAGAACGGAACAAACGATAGCATCAACATCGATCGCTTAAAAGCAGCGTATTTAGAAGGAAATCCTATCTACGTCGACTTTCCTTCGGTACAATCGCACAACACTACTCCTACACTCATAATTCCTCAACCGACAACCAACTCTATCGATGACATTCCGAATGTGTCTGAAAATAAACTTAAAACGACACGTTCTGGAAGAAGAGTAAGATTTCCAGAACATTTAAACGACTATTGCACGAAAAGCATTTATATTATCTCGATCTTTCTTTTTACGATATATATACATTTTTTTAAGAAAAAAACGATTCTAATATGCGCATATACTTATATTTTTATAAAAAAATATTTTCTTAACGCTATTACGTGTACTTGATTTTACTTTCCTTTTTTTCGCCGACATTTCGTTTTTACGTACATACGAGTGTATTTCGACATGCACTTACATTTTCTATTTCTTTTCCAGGACGGCTGGAAAAGAGCGATGACGTTTATGAGGAGTCGAAATTTTTATTGTAACTTTCCTTTTTTTACTATGTTGTACCTCGGTCCCATATAGTAAGGAAAGACGACCAGACGCTGCTAAATTTAGTAAGCTATCAGAAGAGTGTTTACCAACGACAAACTCGTTGGGTTTAAACTTCTGGCTGGCCACATCCTAGGGTTATCACTACCCCACTAGGGGTGGAGTGATCTGTAGCGGTAAATAAATCCCCAAACTAAATAGCTCTGTAAGTTTTCGACATTGGATGCTGACCATATGTTTTAGTGGACTCATCTAGCTGAAGGCGCTCGGTCATGCATCCGCACCAGATCACGTGTGGTAACGCTGTGCTCAACATCTACCACAATCGCTAGCCAGATTAGATCAGAGAATTCCGATATATTGGTTATCGCCAAATACACTCTTCCGATTTCCTCGACTCTGTCTTTTGATTTCTCTCGGTGGGAAAAAAGTATATTAGAAGGTGTTACTGGTAGAAGCGTTGTCAAACACTGAAAGCCTTAATCATCCTCAGGGGGATCTTATCGGTTAACTGGCACGTAGTCGTCATATAGTGGTGATCATAGTCAATCACGACCGACTCGATACCACACTACAAGTACTAATATGTAAGGCAGTGAAACTGTTTTTTTTTACCGTAAATGACGGAATGCAATTTAATGGGTGCAAAATCGATTCCACATGAGGTGTACTCGCATATAAGACATGTTCAAAGTCTAATTCCCACTGACATTTGGGTGATGCAGTACATAAATCCCCAAAATCAATAGCTCCGTATGTCTTCAACCTTTTATGCTGACCGCGTTGGTTTAACTGGACAGACTCTAGATGATGGCACTCGATCACGCATCCGTACCAGATCACGAATGCGTACGTCGTATTGCGCATCCGTTTCAGTTATTAGCCAGCTTAGACCAAAAGTTCCTTGACTTACGGACAGCCCTCCAAATACATGTTTGGACTCCTTCATCTCTGACTTCTGATTTGAATGGATTGGTATATTTTGATTGTACGAGTGTAACTGGTTAAGATGTCAAACTTCGAATTTTTGTGGCATCTTTAACACTTTGTGACTTCCGTATTCATTGTACTCCTCAAATGTTTCTCCATCTAATGTGGATGTCTTTTATTTTTTATTTTTGGAGAGAATTTAGCAAGGGCCGTATTTTTAGCAACCGAAAACACTACTCAACTACCAAGGAGTAAATTCCATGAGACAAATATTTCGCTACTTTTACCTAGTAAAGTTTGAATTTGAAAATTTGGAGATGTGATTGCTGAAGATAAATGAAACGGAGCCAAAGCTGAGGTTGAACGCTAGTTTGCCCTCGGAAAACGCACCTAAGGAATCCTCGTAAGTTAGAAAAAATTCACTTTTCTTGAATATAAAGTGTTCTGAAAGTCAACTAAATCAAAGAGAATGTATATGGTTTGATTGATATAATCACCACGTCTTAAGCCAACAACTAACTATAAATATTGTCTTACAAAAAGGTGGCTCGAAGAGAGTAGCCAGTTCACAGCATCAGGATACTGCACGACGAAGATTAGATATTGTGCGCTTTTTTTAAACTGAGACGTTACTAGTCTCCCAAGTAGTGTAGTGCGTGCATCTGTTCGTCATAGAACCCTCAATACTTTAGCATTTTCTTATAATTTACACATGGTATGATCTTGTTTTTTCGCTGATTTTGCGTTACCTCATTGCGAAAATTGTGCCTCTGTATTTTTACTGCTTCCATAAATTCATGTTTTTGTCACTTGGATCTCAAATCACGTATAACGGATAATACTTCCCTGAAATATTGTGTTAATTCTCAGTAATAGGTGTTTTATTTATTTTTGAGAGATGTTGCGTTTCGGGATAATATGCATTTGCATTTAAATATATTTTAAACTTATTTATTATTTCCTAAATACCAGGTGTATAAAAAGAAACAAATATTGTCATATTTGTGTTTAAGATATTCATCTGCCTAATTTATTTCTGTCAGTATGCCGGCCCTATATTTCCTCTGTTATTAGATATTAAGGTTTCCAATGAATTTGGTTCGACAGGTCAAATGGTTGCTAATCTTTTCTTAACTTATTTCCGTGCCCTTCATTTTCACTGAATCAGTCATGTCGTAAACATCATTTCTGCTAACTTCCAGGTGTCCGTTTGCTGGCACGAAATCATGCACCCGATAGGGTTGTGGTCCGTTCTTGACTCATGAGTCCTCTTGTTATAACCTTGGGATGTCATTTTGTTTGAAAAGGATAGGAAGATGAGTGGACTGTGTTCCTCCTGGAAATGGTGGTCTCTGAGTTGATCTAGATTTTAAATGTGTAGACAGATGGGGCCTAAACCATGTATCGAGGTAACGGATTCCATTCATTGGTGATTGGATGGAAAGGTCGTTAGTCACCTGACAAGTGATTTGTTCTGGTCTTGTGAGAGCTTATACAGTGTGTTGTCGTAAATTTCCTGTTTTGGAAAACAGGAAAAATGAGGGCACATCAAATGCAAAGTTATCACCAAGTACCTTAAAAACTGTTAATGAGTCACTTCTGGTTCTTCTATATGACAAAGGGAGTTGATTTAGTTTATCCAGTCTGTCGTCATATGGGAGCTTTGGGATTTCGCGAATCAACTTGTTTTCTGTTCTTTAAGCCTTTTTTAACAGTTCGCTGTCTCTTTTTAGAGCTGGCTTCTTGTATGCAATATTCAAGTTTATGACGAACGAATACTATTCAATGTCAAAGGTTTTAGCATCAACGTGGCTAAAGGCTTTAGCTATGAGGGACCATAAGTTTCGAAAACATTTGCTGACCATTTCAGTAGTTTTTATGTCCTGGCTAACGATGACTCATAGGTCACTGTGTGTCTAGACAACAGGTAGCTCAATGTTATCCAACGTGCATCACAATGCACTTGGAAGCGTTTTTCAGCGACTGGCAAATTCTAAGTTATTCAGCTAGTTTCTACAGATCATTTTGAAATACTAAACTATCGTATTCGTTTTTTATTGCTCTCCATATCCTGATATTTTCAGTATATGACAGAATGGATGACGCTGTGAGACTAAGGTTATTTACATACAGGAGGAATAACACTGGCTCCAAGTCTGTACCCTAAGACACTCCACTAGGCATAGTTTACCAGTTAGACAACTTAAGGTTTGCCCGTACTCTTTGTTAACTCTGAACTAGAAGGTCCCTTATCCGCATAAATAAGCTGCCTCCGATCCCGATATCACTTAACTTTGATAGAAGCCGGTTGTGAGGAGCTTTCTCAAAGCCCTTACTGAAGTCAGTGTAGGTTGCATTGTTAGGTAGCTTTGGGCATTATAAACGCACCAACTTTCTCAGGCCACCTATAGTTTGTGAGACATGAATAATATGCTCTAAATCCATGTTGATTTTCAGAAAGGATCTGGTTTTCGTTTAGATATCTTTTTAAAAACTTTAACAACCACTTTGGCTAGGCTGATGGGTCGAAATTTCCCAGGTTTGTGTCTCATACCTGTTTCGGAAGACAGTACTAACTATGACGTTTTCCAGTCTTTTGACAATCTACCTTGAGGTGCAGATAGATTTAAAGCATATCCTTAAGGGATTTTCTAATTCCTTTGGTAAACTAGATTGCATTTAATCGAGTTCCATGAATTTACCTATATTAAGCTTATTTAGCAGACCTAAGTAAACGGATTTGTATGGGTTGAGGGTTTGTATGAACAGATTAGGGCTTTTCTACAGTATACACCTTGCACTGGGGCGTATGTAATAACCATGTCAGTTAGCTTTTGTTCGAAAGAATTTTCTGATAACTCAGTCCTCAGAATTTTCCAGTCTACCATAGGTCCATCAAAGTCTCCTAAGACTAAACATCGACTACTCGAAAACCAAGTACTGAGATCGTTCAGTAAGACCTCATTCAACTCACAGTTTGAACCATTTAGTATCTCTTGTCCTTTGCTTTTCAAGTGGCAACTAGCTAATTCGCATGTCCCACTTTTTGGGATGTTATCAATAATGGTAAATGAGGAAGTATTCCTAATGAATTGAACTACTTATCCTTTACGACTATGAGTTCTGTCGGCTCTTACTAATGTGGAACTTTCAAAATCAAGTTCCCCACTGTCTTCAAACTGAGTCACCTAAATTTCTGTGACGGCGATTACATCCGACTTGCTAGAGTCTATCTGCATACCTATCTCCAATCGCTTGTTGAACAAACTCTGGACATTTGTGTAACATATTTGAAGCTTATTTAAATGGCATCGTGCTGCACCCGAAGTGGCTTTGAGACCATTGTCGAAGCCTCACCACCCGAAAAATTGCAATTCTCAAGTATTTCTCGCCAGTGTTTAACCTTATTTTTAGTTTTTTTCCAGCTTCTCGTTCTTTTTTCATGGTTCACGAGCGCACAGGACCCCTGAGCCCTTTAGTTTATGTCCATTATGTAGAATTGAGTTACTTTTATAGGGAAATTCAAATACTACTTTTAGCAGACCGGTCTGATTTCCTTTCGAGTTCGTTTGGCTACTCAGTCTAGAAACCTTCAGCAAGCTCGCTCCAGAGATATCTTGAGGCATTAGCTAGTTAAGTAAATTTTTTTATCAATACAACGTCATGTTCAAAACGAGTTCTGGGTTCTAAGCTTCCATTCTTCTTGACTCTATAAAAAATAGCTGACTTGTCACTATGATCAGTCTTCGATTTCTCAGCTACTTTTTGAGAGACTGGCTTTCCTTTGGTAACATGTCGTTTCTTATTCTCTATTTGTACACCCTATCAACTTTCGTTGGAGTAGCAACCACAATCGCGTCACACACTGTGGGATCCAAGATGATTGTCGATGACTTGAGTTGTCAGGTTTTCGTTTTTGCTGCTATAAACAGATCTAGCCTTACGATTAGGTTTTCTAAGTGTTTCCTGCTACCTGTCATTTGGGGGACGTGGGGAAGAAGAAACGTTTTTTCCTGAGCTTTTACTTCTGACAGACCTTTTAACTCGGTTTTTCCTGCTTTGGCCCAGGTGAGTCAATCGATTCTGAATTTAATTGAGGTAACTTCGCATCAATTTGTGTATCGACCGAACGAGTACCGTCTAATGCGTTTCGACTACACTCACCACTGCAATGACTTCGGGTAGCAAGCTGTTTATGTACAAGCAATACCGCTGACACAATCACACGTAACCATTTTTACTTAACCGCTTAAAAGCAGCAGGTGTTGGGTTCGTGCAAACTTCATAGTGCCATCATTCGCACTCCTCTCACTGCATGCCACTTTTTACAGAGTATTGTCAGCGTGTTTATCTATTTATTTAAACACATAAACCTAGGTACATGAAGGCACCAAATAGATAAATCATTCGGTCTGTGTGAGGGCTAGGATACTGCCCGGGTGCCCATACTGAAGCACGTGGTTTCCTTGGGGGGTCACATCCGGAGCCTTTGACCCAAATGTCTAATGCACAAGGCAATGGAGCAACGTCAGGAGATGCAGTCCCATGGTAACCGGTGACCAACAATTGGTTTATACGCCATTTGTTCCCTTAGGATCCTGGAGCCCATGTGCACCATTGGTTTGGAATCAGGGTTTTCCAACTCTCTTAGGTGGACTCACCGTGTCCACCGGCCCGGTTAAAGCGCCGGACATTCGCTTTTCGTAAACAACACCCGTGGTACGAAAAGGCAGTGGGGTAGGACTTCCCTGGCAGTGGTTGAATGCACGAGGCCATGTGAGAACATTTCAAGAGGGAGAGTTGACTCTCTTCATTCTCGGCCGTACCAGGGCATTTGGGGGCGTTAGTAACTGCTTCTTTTGTACTGTCCACCCATCAATCCGAGGTTTTCAAATAAACATAATAATAATATGAAGAATCCTTACTCAGTACGTATTTCTCCGTGAATTATCAAAGTTTACCTAAAACTCGACAGCACTGTCTTTGGTGGATCATCGTCTAAAATGTAAAGCACCCACACAGTGAAAGGACTTCAGCGCAGGGCGAAATTACTATTGAAATAATAGTTGTTACTATTTCGGTAGTACTAAAAGAACAAAGGAGGCTTACTCAATCTAATTTAACCGATTTATTCAGATTTTAACCCCACTTTGCTTTCTTATTTTTGACCAGTTGAGTGGTACCACTAACCCTCAAACGGTGTGATTTAAAAACGGTTAGAAAAATTTGTTCTCGGCAAATTAATTCACAGGTTGGGCTACTTCTGTGCTCAATAATTAAAAAGAGAAAGAAATAAGTGTACCCGCTACACTGCGACAAATATCTACCAATATCACTTCAACTCTCTTATCTGTAAAATTCCAAACTGCAATCTCATACAATGCTTTGACAGCTAAATTTAGTAATCAGTCACCTGTAGAGTAATATGTTCTCTTGGCCTAATCTTCCTTACTCTGTTTACAACATAATAAAATGCCTTTCATTGAAGTCTGTCGGAAATTGTCATCTGGCGAAACTAAATTGTGTGGTGTAGCCCTTGCTATATATATAATCCATACCCTATTTGACTTGTCAGAGTCTAGTTTACTCAGCCAGAGGTTATCTCACCAATCTGGGAAACACTGACGGTGCAGTGATTTTCGATAGGGAAATTGGAATAATTCTGAACTTTTTAAAGGCTGTCCCTGATATATTGAGAAGACTTGGAACGTGTCTGTCATCTAAATAGTATAGGTGGCTTTCAAATATCCTTGCAAACTTTAGAAACTTCTTTAGCCTAATATTTGTGTTCTAGTACAGGTTTTATTCTCCAATATCTTTTCAAAATTCTTAGTCTTCGAATACATGCTATCATGTTCTCGTCATGTATTTCAAAATTTTTCTACCTGCATAGATTAATATTTTCCCACTTGTATTAGTATTTTAAATTAATGGAAACTGCAAACGTTAACTTATGGCCCTGATCAATTCTAATAAACCGGATAGGGATGGAAGCTTAACTGGATCCATCGTACGTCGTTTACATTCACCCTCTCAATCTTCCGTGTCTAGTGAAGAACTCCTCGTTTGGTCTAAAGGTTAGTTAATTTCCCTCCCTTTTTAATGATTGAAATATCATTCATTATTTTGACATTTTAGGCTTTCTAGTTAACATAGTTACGTTTCAGTATATTTGCTGAACAGCATCATATATATGTACAGAGATAAAATTATTTTGAAACGCAACCTTAAGCCTTGTTTTCACTTGTTTATAAGCTTGGTGGTTTTTAAAACAGGTGACTATCTTTTAAAAGCATTCCTTAATTTCTAGTAATAAGTGGTTACCTTTGCAGCAACGTCGGTAATCAGGTGGATATTTCCTATGATAATGGATTATAGTCGTTCACTATCATCAAATTGACTGAATTTAGAAATGTGAGTGGCCTTCGCTGTGGAGTCCCATACTAAAGCAAAAAGCTATCAATTGCTTTTAGATTTACAACGTTTGGCTAGTTAAAAATAGTCTTTGTTTCAAATTATCTTCAAAAATAAGTACGTTTAATAAAATGGTATGTCAGTTTAAAAATCAATACAAGTTTAGTTAAAACAAAGTATAGATTAGTAAATTTCAGTGAACAAGTAGTTCTCAGCAGATTCTTATCCGGTTCCACATCTGAATAAATATCTTCAGATAAGACGACTTGATTGTTAAACTATCCTATTTTCAACCACTAGGCTCCCAAATCAAACCCTACTCTTTCTACTTCGGTTTGGGCGATGGGGTAGTTTCACTAATCTCCATATAATCTGTCCGACTTGTGTCTGAGTACATAATCATGTACTAAGTAATTATGTACACCAAAGCTATTCTATTTGCGTACATGTAATGCTCCCTAATGAATTCATTTCCGTCTCACAAAGCTTTACAGTCAGCGATGTTGTAAGAAGCAATTTCCTACAGGTGTACCTCTAAGCTATTCTCTAGACTGTCGAGCACAGAGTCTTGGTTTAGCCAAAGTCAGAACAAGTAAGCTATTTGGTTTGATAAACTTTATCTGTTTCTAAAACATAAATTAATACAGTTAGTACACAAAATAAACAGTACAGTCTATTAACACAGGGAAGAACAGAGAAATAAATAACATACCGAACAGTAACTATAGAGTATAGGAAAAATGAGTCAAAAAGGCAAATATTGTTATATAATGAACATAAAATTGTGATTGGTGAATAAACAAGACGTAGCCATACAAGGTCGAAGAAAGTTAATGTGGTGGTGGGCGTTTCACTTTATCATTGGTGAGTTCGTTTATCGATCACACTTTACAACGTTACCGTTTACTTATTGAGGCCACAACCAACCTTGTTTAAAGGAAAGGAAACCCGGGGCCTATGTACACGATCTTTAGCTACTTAGTCTAGTCTTGTCACTGAAAATTTTATTTAAGTGGGGAGCTTAACTACCCGAGTTTCTTCAATTTGGTTGTCTAATACAGTCTAAGGACTAATTAACTTATTCGTTTTTTCTGCATTTTCGATCATAATAATAATGCATGAAAATAATTATATATATATATATATAATGTTTTTCTTAAATAATTTATAGAAGGAAATGATTATGACTGGGAGTTATTTCCCATCTCACCACCACTTGATGAATTATCGCGTATACAAAGTTCATCAAATGTCGCATGTGACAGTAGTTTTACTCCAGTTACGTACAACAATTTAAATGATGTTAATAATGGTAGCAAAAGTATTACCATCACTGAAAGTAACTTTAGTAACAGTAACAGTAGTAGTGATACAACTATATATGCATACAATCATAATTCCGTTACTGATCAATTGTCCACATCATTTTTAACATTAGAATCTTGTTCACATTATATGAATGGTTCATCAATTCAACCTCAATTAATAAATTCTGCTAAAACTGATATGATAGAAACAACACTTAATGAACTGGTTCCTTCATCATCTTTTTCAAGAACATTGTCATCATCGTCCAAAAAAGTAACCAATCATTCCTTCTCATTTAATAATTTATATGACCAAATAAACGTGAATACGTTAGCAGATGATTTTATTGATTTAGACATTAAAACTATTCCTACTACTTCAAGTTGTTCATTGACAACTTCTTATCATCCAGATTTTGATTATGTAGGTTTTCCAGAATCACCTATTCAATCTTTACGAAATTCAACTTCTAATAAAAAATCACAGCTTTTAAATTCATTTATTTCTAACAATGGTATAAATATACAAAAATCAAGTGTTGTATCTCAATCACCAGAGACAGAAATTAATCGACAAACATCATTAAATCCACACTTGTAAGTCTTAACTTTCGTCGTATTTTTTTCTTAGAAATGATAAAATAATTTATAGGGAATGTGAGCGTTTTTAGTGGCGTTACTTTTTACATCCTGATTTGTTTAGTTGCTAGGCTTTCTGAACATCAATAATACCTAATTCAAGTATAAATGAGATTTTTATAATTATTCAACAGAAAGTTTTGAAGTTTTTGTTTGCTATTGGTTATCTCCAACGTTTTCATGTTAATCGTTTTATTAGACTTATATTTGAACTCCATTTGATCGAATACTCACGCTCATTTGTTTCTAGATTCAATCTACGTCCGTATATTTGCTGATTGCAGGTTGAAATTAAATATTATGCCACTAGAAATTTTCTGACTTTGTTTATTCCTCAATTCAAAATCTTGATACTTTTCCCAATCAATTTGTCCTTTGTAATTATTCTCTTGAATTTGTGTAAGTGACTACATATTATTATCGTTTAACTGATCAGTTATGTTCATGTATATGTGAGCGAAGGGGGCATTCACTTATGTAAGATATGCTTCCTTCAATTAATGCGCTTTATTTTGTAGATAGCTTTGTATTTACTTCCCTTTGTTATCGTATCTTTCGGTTTTCACAAAATGGAATGAACCGTTTATTTTGGTCCCCGTATGAGATTGATTCTGAAAGGTTTTAAAATCCTTGAGACTACTTTTAAAATATTTCTCACATATGATCGAATGGTTTGTTTTTTAATTGATGTGGAGTAATTTTACGATAGTAAGATGGATTGTCGCTAGACACATGTTAATGAATTTCCCAAAATGGACAGAAAAAGGATGAGCTTTTTTCAAATTCTGTGCGACTTTACGTTTCACTTGTTTTCTGGTTCTGTATGTACATTTTTAGACAACTTAAAGCCTACAGTAAGGAAAGTGATTAACTGGTTTGGGTTAACCGGCTCAAGAACAGAATATATAGTGCAATACGGTTTTTATGACTATGTATCATCATAAATCAACATCTAGAGTAAAAAAATTCTACCTCACTGGCCAACAACCTGGAATGCTGATTTCTAACTCATCCTTTTCCTATGAAATAATGATTTCGAGTCCTGAAAGCAAAATGACGTTTGTAGAAACTGTGCGTATTTCATTACTCAGCTGATAGAATTCCTCCAAATATATCCGAAGTTATTATTAATCTAAATTAACAAAACTATGCGATAAGTGTTAGGCTGTACTTCTAGTATTGTAGCCAACAACTTGAAGGTCAAATTTATTACCTATCGTCTCATGAATTAAGTTTACGAGTCATTAAATTCGGACTCCAAGAACAATCGCTTACGGACCTACATAATGCTTGAATTAACAGTGTAATACCTAGTGATCATAGATATTTTTACCAGTTTGATTGGATTGTAAAAAGAACCGTAAATCGAGTGAGCGTTCAAATTTACTCTAATCTGATATCTAAGGTAATCATCCAGAGGTATGGGTTGATGTTAATTGTTCGGAAATGAATCTGCACATCTGATAGGACAATCCATTTTCATGCAATTGATTCCCTTAAGCGATTTGAATAAAGCAGAATAATATGAATTACTTATATGTATTAAAGTGTAACGTTGGGAGAAGAGTACATGTTCTCATTTCTGAGCACTTTTTAATGAATTCGAGACTGAAAGGCACAACAACTCTACATAGTGCAGTAGCTCGGTATTTAATTGATACCGAGCATATCATTGACATTCCCTAACCCATCAGACTTATCAGCAGACCGAAAACCCAGGTTTTCTCCGGTTTGCGGAGTTTCTAGTCCTAGACCATTACTATCTCATAGTCAAATGTCTTTTATATCTATTTTCAAGTAGTTTGAATTTTATTTAAACTCTTTTCAACTTTTATAATTATCACACAATCTATCTTTGGTCTGTTTCTGGACGTCATTTAATTACTGTCTGTTTCACATTATATCTTGACTCAATGTTACACTTTAATACATATATGGTTGTAAGTAGTTAATAAGAAACCACCGAAATATGATGAATTCATATTATTCTGCCTCAACTGTTTTCGCATTATGCAACTCTAATTTTTATCATCGTTTGTCTACCTATCTACTGCTTAGTTAAGAATTGAGTCATTGATTGACTCTGATGATTTAACTTCAACCGATTTAAACGATTGTTACAATTCCAAAGTAGTCTTAGTGTTAATAGTTACTGAAAAATGCTTTTATTCTCATTTCCCAACACCATGTTTCAGACTGCAATGTAGTTGTGTCAAGTTCTAAATCGCTTCAGTCAGTTAATAATCACCCGAGAAGTTTATATTGCATACGATCAGGTGTTAATTAATACAAATTATTTTCATATATACATTTAAATATCCATAGATTTGAAATGATTGGTTATTTTGGAGTGTCGGTAACCCATTATATGAACAAAAAACTTTAAAAAAACTCCTACGATGTACCTCTTATATGACTGATTGAAGTTCGCTTTAACCCTAAGGCCATTGTAAACTGGAACATCAAATCTCAATGTGGGATAAAAAATACTTTTGGTAAATGCTAACTATAATAAAGAATTTCCAGCAATAACAACCGGTTTATAAACCAATTTATGATTACAAACAGAGATGGATTATGATTATCTTATGCATCAAACTTTGTTGTACACACAGATAATACTCTTGTATACATCACATTTTGTTTATTTTACTGTTTCAGTTTAGACTGAAAACTAAAAAAATGTTTATCATTAGTAGCATTGTTTCTCTCCTTTCTTTGTTTCATTCATTTTTGTCTTTATGGGTTACTTTCTTAATTTCAGTTGTCATATCTTGTCATCTGTCAGCGAAATGCCCACCACAAAAATTATTGTTGGCTACAATAACGATGATGGTAACAATAATGATGATTCATTCACAAATTATACAGATTATAGATGTAATCAAAATAGTTATAATAAGAATAACAACAGTAAAGTGAGTGAAGTCAGTGTTTACAGATTATTTTCAGTTTTTTGTCCAAATTACCATTGTAATTATATGTCCTGGAGTTCTAGTGAGAAGCAGTGACCAGTGGAGTTCAACCGCGTTAGTTGTGAGATAGTAACTCATTGATGACAATGGTGGATGCGTCGCCCAATTTCGTGGATTAATTGAAGCTGGACATTAACACCGTTGGATTTCGTTTCAGTGGTCTAATGGTTAAGCGCTCGCGCGCGAGATATAAATCCTGGGTTCGAACCCCGCGAGGCGGGGTCGTGGATGTTCACTGTCGAGGGGTCCCATACTGGGACGAAACAGCAGTCCAGTTCTTTCAGGCTTTCGATGGTGGCCTAGCTTCAATTGACTCGTGATCTCAACTATTGAAATTACTACAATCTCCACAAAACCCCTTCTTATACGAATTACTATTTGTTTATAGCCATAACATTTTATCGTTGCTGTTTTTTTATTTGAACAAAAATATCCGTAAAAGGAGGGTGGGTGCGCCACCCCTCTCGAAATGCTCTCACGCAGCCACGCGTATACAGCCTCTGCCAGGGAAGTCCTACTCAGTGCCTTCTCGTGGCGGGGGTGTTGTCTGCGAAAATGAGCGGATAAAAAGCGGATGTCCGGCGCTTAAACCGGATCCCAAACCAACGGTGCACATGGGCTCCAGTATCCTGCGGGAACAAATGGCGTGTGAACCAATTGTTGGACACCGGCTACCATGGGACTGCATCTCCTCACGATGCTCCACTACATTGTGGGTCAGACCTTTAGGTCATCAAAGGCTCCGGGTGTGGCCCCCTAGGGAAACCACCTGCTTCGGCCTGAGCACCCGGGCAGTGTCACAGCCCACACACAAATATAATGATAATGAAAATGATGGTATTTACTGAAAATTCTGTTCACGCTTCGATTAACAGTTAAACAATTCGCTTTATTATTATTAATGTTATTATTATCTTTATTTACTACGTCACTTATTCACTCTCTTTTATTCCCACTTTATGTATCCCTATTTTTTGACTTATACAACAGCTCGCCTATGGTGGAAATTCGGTTCTATCTAAACGTTCTCGAGTCACTGCCCGACTGAAAATTGAATGCTACCACCGAATATGAGTACTGAAGCAGTTTTTCTGAAACCACGTGCACCATTCAAACTGGTTGCCTTCAACGTTCGCACACTTATGCAGGTCGGACAAAAGATAGTGCTGGCTATATCTTTGGAAAGTCTTAATATCGATGTTTGTTGTCTATCCGAGACCCGTATTCAAGACTCTGGTGAAGTACTACAAATTCGCTCTCCATCTGCCGCTTCGAAAAGCTTGTTTTACGTGCGTTTATCTGGGGACCCCACGACATCTTCGTCTGGTCTTCTTGGCGTTGGTGTCGCACTAGGCGCTAGAGCTGAGGCAGCACTAGTCGATTGGATCCACATTAACTGTCGGTTATGTACTGTTAGATTAGAAAGTTCCGTCAAAGTGTTGGGGACGTTAGATCCCTAAAACTCATATTTTGTAATTTTATTTTAGTGGATCTCGTATGCAGATGTATGCTTGGGCATTCCTTACCACCCACGCACATAATCGATTGACAAACTTATCGATTAGATGTTTAAAAACTTGCATGGCAATGTCTATTATATATATTGTATAAATACGCCTGATTTGTGTGCTTGAGGGACCTGGTATTTTCTGGTTGTCTGAGAATACACTTTCTACATCTTACCAAAACTTCTGGATCGAGTTAGCTGAGTTGGGGACAACGGACCAGTATAGCCTATCGAGTCTCTGAATCCTTGATTCTTCGTTCCGTTCCGAGTAAGACGAATCAGTAGTAGCATTCAAGTTAACGAAAATAACACAAAGTGAGAAGAAATCGGTGTGAGAAACGATGTCTTTTCGTCATCTCCGCCTATGCCCCGACAGATTGCAGCACGGATGCAATCAAGGATGATTTTTACTACCAGTTAACTATCCTTCTCCAGAAAGTGCGTTCGACAGATATTGTAGTACTAGACGGAGACTCGAATCCTCAGGTCGGGCGTCTAGGCACAGAAGAGTCGTATAGGTGGCCGATGGGGACTTGTTGGTCGCAGGACAGATGACAGGGACCGTCTACTGCAACTTTGCACAGATCACAACCTGATTCTGGCTAGCACTAATTTCCGGCACAGTCATCGCCGATGTGCCACCTGGCGACCTCCCTCTGCACCTCAAGCCTGGACTCAGATTGATCACATCGCGATCACCTACCGCTGGCGTGGTTGTGTACAAGACTGCCACTCCTGTTGGAGTACCTATCTGGACTCTGATCATGCCCTGGTCTGCGCCAACCTTACCTTTTTTCAGTGACCAACGAAGTGACCACCACCAAAGGATTGATGTCAACAAGTTGGTTGCAACTTCTGTTGCTAGTAAATATCGAACTTGAGCTAGTTTCTAGGCTAGCTACCACTCCACCGAGAAGTATAGATGAACATTGGTTGCAACTTCATGACACCATCAAAATGGCGAGTAAAGCCGCTTGCGGCTTCGCGAAACGTCCCGCTTATAAACACTATGTTTCTTCTGGTTCTTTACAACTCATTGAAACCCGTCGATCTACTCCGGGTGACCGTGAGTTTAACCACAAACGAAGGATGTTACGCAATGAAACCGGGAAAAGCTTGCGTAAGGACCGAGAAGCCTGGTGGTTGGAGCGTGCTAATGAGCTGGAAGCAGCAGCTGCATCTGGTAATTACCGGAAGCTCTTCCAACTCATGCGAGCCACTGGCAGCAAGAAGTCTGGTGTGAGCGAAACAATCTGTGAGGATGACGTGATGCCAATCACTAACATCCATCGACGTCTTGGACGATGGGCAGAATTCTTCGAAGGGCAGTTCAACTGATCTGCTGCTCTGTCAACACCGGTCGGACTGTCCTGCCCTCCATGGCCGGTGACGACTGATACACCAAATGAGGCGGAAGTCCGCAAGGAACTCCAACTCTTGAAACGCTACAAATCACCTGGCCCAGATGACTTACCTTCGACCCTTTATAAAGATTATGGTGACTTTCTGGCTAAGGAACTGACTGTGTTGTTTACGAAGGTCTGAGAGCTGGAGAGTGTACCAACGTCATGGAATGAGTCGTAGTTGTCCCTATCTTTATAAAGGGTTCACGTCGTTCCTGTAACAACTATCGGGGGATAAGGTGTCATTACCAAGGTTTGATTTGATAATTTCGAATAAATTGAGCATTGGGTTGATTGTTATAAATAAAAATAATATATTTGTAATATCCCAATGAGTAGAAAATTGGATTTTCTACTCATTGGGATATTACAAATATATTATTTTTATTTATATCGGGGGATAAGTCTACTTCCTATTGCGTCCAAGCTATTGGCTTCCGTCATACTTCGTAGATTGTTCAAAACCCGAGAAAGATTGACTCGCGAGGAGCAGGCTGGGTTTCGTTCTGGTCGAGGATGTATTGATCATATCTTCACCCTCCGCCCAATGTTAGAACACTGCCATACTTATCACAGGCCAACAATCGTAGTGTTTCTTGACATAAGAGCTGCCTTCGATTCGTTGGATAGGACTGTTTTCTGGGATTGTCTGTTGAAGAAGAGTGTGCCTGAGAAGTTTATTAACAACCTAAAGGCTCTGTATACAAACACCTCAGGTAGAGTGAGGGCATAAAACCACCTCTCTCCATTGTTCCATTCGAGCAGTGAGGTTAGTCAGGGTTGCCCAATCTCACCATTCCTCCCCAACTTTGCCATCGATGACATTCTGGAAAAAGCGCTGATGGATGTAAGTAATGGCGGTGTGGATCTGTTGCCTGGAGAAAGACTTCTGAACCTTGAGTATGCAGATGACATTGTCTTACTGTGCGATAATGCCAAAGCCATGCAATCCGCACTTAATCAGTTGGCAATCAATGTTCGTAGGTATGGTATGTGCTTTGCACCTTCGAAGTGCAAAGTACTTCTACAGGACTGGCAGGATTCTAATCCTGTACTCACCCCGGATGATGAGCAGATAGAAGTAGTCGAGAAGTTCGTATATTTGGGTAGCTGCATAAGTGCTGGTGGTGGCGTGAGTGATGAGATCAATTCACGTATAGTGAAAGCCAGAGCGGCTTATGCCATCTCTGGCGCCTTCGTGATGTAATCTGACTGTAAAAGGTAGGATCTACAACGCGTCAGTGAGAGCAGTTTTGCTCTATGCTTGTGAAACCTGGCCTTTCCGAGTTGAGGACGTTAGACGACTCTTTGTGTTCGATCATCGCTGTCTCCGAAGGATTGCTAACATCCAGTGGCAACACCATGTTAGTAATGCAGAGGTTCGGCATCGTGTGTTCGGGCGCAGAGATGATGATGCAATTGGTGTCACCATCTTGAAACATCGAGTTCGGTGGCTTGGACATGTTCTACGAATGTCGTCCCAGAGAATTCCACGTCGTGCATTATTTGCTGACACTGGGACTGGTTGTAAAAAGCGGGGAGATGTTCAGTGTATGACATGGTGTCGTGGTATGAAAGAAAGCTGTAAAGGGCTGACTTCTGTTGGTCCTTTACGACTCTCTGGCTGGGGTCCTTGAGATGATGTAACACAGTGGCTAGAGACGTTATCAGATATGGCTCAGAATAGAAGCCAGTGGCGATTCTGTTGTAACCTTTTACTTCATAAAAAGTGGTTGCTTCTTCCTTAACTGAAAGATTTCATCTGATTGTACCTCTCCGTTTTCCCCATCATTACTATTATTATTATTCGACTACCTTACACTAATCTGTTCGTTATTGTCCTTTTTTTCTCTTCGAATTCTCATTGTTTTGTGTGGCGCATATATATTTGGTGCCCTCTTGTACCAATATTTATGTGTTCAAATAAATAAATAAATAAAATCATCATAAAGATACAGGTGTGTCCAGTTGATGAGTCGCAGAAGGGACGAAACAAAACACCCGGATTTCACTGCCAACCAAATCTATGTATTTTATAAGAAATTAAAAAATAGCTACATCAAAGCAATGCACAAAACACCCACATATATTAACAAAGACTGATCAAAATTCATTCTTGAACATCGGTAATGAGATTATTCCAACCTTTTGTCATAATGTTATATTTAAGTGTATATTTTGTGTAAAGCACAGCCTGATAAACAGTTTAGCTTTAGACAAAGGTTTACTCAAACCGTTTTTTATGGTTTTACTAGCAATTAACCTATTTTCTATTTGCTTTGGTTATTTTTTTACATAATGTTTTAACTAGTCATTCCATTGTCAATCGTCTGAACTCATAGATCATTTATTATCATCAGACAATGAATCAAGTGAAGAACTACCTGGTTATTCATTTCTGTCATCGTCGTCTGCATCATCGTGTATACATATACCGTCAAAGTGCAATGACGATAATCATAATGGTAATAATAGCTGTCATGATAATCACATGGAAAATAATACATCAATAAATACTATACATGAGATAGTAAATAATGAAGAAAACGCTAATAACTGTCATCATAAATATAAAAATCGTCAATATCAACGTCAAGACAATGGATTAATGTCACTGACATCATGTAATTCTATTCCAATTCCATTTATGCTTATTCCTACAAGTGAATTAGCTTCAGGTGGTTCACTTACATGTACAGTTGTTAATATCTTGGTAAGTACTATACATGATTATATGCATATCACTAATATTATTTTGTTGAACAAACAGGTTGAGAAAGATTAATATAAAAGATTTAATACGATAATAGGAATGGATTCGCACTGACAATACGCGAATCGACATCATATGTAATAGCCGAAAGTACTGCATCAACACACTTCATTTAATATCAGAAATGTTGCGGATAATATCAATATATTCTTTTACTGTGAAGTTGGTTCGTTTTAACAATATTTCAGTCTGACCTCTGCCGTGGTTGTGTACAAGACTTACGCTGTTCTCGGCATACTTATATTGGACCCTATTCATGCCCTTGTTTGCGCCAATCTCAACTTACGTTTCGGTGTCCAACAAACTCATTGCCCTAAACGGATCGATGTAAGCAAATTAGCTACAGCTTCTGTCCCAGCTGAATATCAAACCGAGATGAGTTCAAGGCTACCTATCAACCCACTGAAATATATATATAAACGTCACCTGGAATTGCATGACACCACGAAGATCGTGATTTAATTCGCTTGTGGCATCACGAGACATCTCGCAGATAAAAAGTGGGTTTCTACAGAATCCTTACAACTCAATGAAGCACATCGGTCTACTCCAGGTGACCGCGAGTTTGACCACAAATAAAGACGGCTACGTAATGAAATTGTGCAAAGCTTGCGTAAGGACCCAGAAACCTAGTGGTTGGAGCGTGCTAACGAAGTGCACGAAGCAGCTGTATCTGGTAGCTACCGGAAGCTCTTCCAACTCATCCTAGTCAATAGCAACAGCAAGTCTGATGTGCGTGAAACGATCTGTAACGCTAGTCGATTAAATTTACCGACGTCTTGGACAATGGGCAGTCTCTCAATGAGCAGTTTAACTGGTCTGCTGCTCCAGTGACATCGAGCAGACTGTTCTGTCCTCTCTGGCTAGTGTCGACTGTTCCACCCAATGAGACCGAAGTCCGCAAGGAACTTCAACTCTTGGAACACTACAAATCACCAGGCCCAAATGACCTACCTCCAATCCGTTTTACAGTTAGTAGTGACATTCAAGTTAAGGAACTGAGTTGTTTGCAAATGTATGGCAATTAGAGTGTTACAACATCCTAGAATGAGTCCATAGTTTGAAAGAGTTCACGTCACCCATGCAACAACTATCGGGGGATAAGTTTACTACTCCCGATCGCATCCAAATTATTCACTTCCATCGTACTTTGTAGACTATTCAAAACCCGGAAAGGACTGACTCGCAAGGAGCAGGCTAGCCTCCGTTCTAAACATACTTATTACAGGCCAACAGTCACAGTGTTTCTTGACACCAAGGCCGCCTTCGACTGTTCTCTGGGGTTGTCTAGTGGAGAAGGGTGTTCCTGAGAAGCTTGTTAACATCCCGGAGGCCCTATATGCAAGACTGGCAGGAACCTGAACCTGCACTCACTCTGGGTCGAGAAGTTTGTGTATCTGGGCAGCTGTGTAAGTGCTGGAGGTGTGAATGATAAGGCCAGAGCGGCTTATGCTAGTCTGGGCCGTCTTTGGCGCCTTCGTGATGTTAGTCTGTCTGTAAAAGCTCGGATCTACAACGCGTCGATGAGAGCAGTTTTGCTTTACGCTTGTAAAACCTAGCCTCTCTGAGTTGAGGATGTTAGACGACCTTCTGTGTTTGATCATCATCGTCTACGACGAATTGTTGATATTCAGTGCCAAAACCATGTTAGTGGTGCGAAGGTTCGCCAACGTGTGTTTGAGCACAGCGACGATAATTCAGTTGGTGTCACTATCCCGAAACACTGATTTAAATATGTTGGCTTGGACATGTCCTACGAATGTCGTCCCAGAGAATGCCATGTCGTGCATTGCTTGCCAACGCTGAGGTTGGTTGGGAAAGGCAGAGACGTGGTCAGTGCATGACATGGTGCGGTGGTGTGATGAAAAGCTATACAGGACTGGTTTCCGTTGACCTTTCAAGACTTCCTGTTTGGGGTCCTAGAGATGGTGCAACACAGTGGCTTGAGACGTTATCAGAAATGTCTCTGAATAGAAGCCAGTGTTGGTCCAGCTGTAAATTTATTTTGCTTCATAAAAGTGGACGTAACTTCTTTAACTGGAATTTTTCCTGGTTGTATTTTTCTTAAATCAACTGCTTACCCTATTACTATTTCACTTCCATACACTAATTTCTATTCATTGTTGTTCGTTCTTCTTTTTTTAATATACTCACCCTTCATTCTCCATTTCTTAACAACCTCATTGTTATTGCGTGGCGCATATGTATTGTAGTATTCCTTTGTACCATCGTTTATGTGTTCCGATAAATAATAATAATAATAGGTTGACTCCATTGATGGACATATATTGTATTTTTCCATTTTCTAGCGTTGTTTAGGTTTATTGGATCGTTGTGGTGTTGAAGATTTATGCGCAATATTATATGATTTCTGGAATAATAATTGTCATGCTCCATTTCATTCTTTTTTAAAATCACATGTTATATATCCAACGTGTTGGGAATTATCACGTACGGAAGAATCAGTGGTAACACGATCATCCTCTTTTACTTCATGCACTTTAGTTGATTCACGGCGATCAACAGTACCTGGTGAGGATTATGAAAGAAATTATCAAATGTTAATAAATTGTCGTGAAAGTAAACCGTTAAATGGGAGTTGTTTGGTTAGTTATTTACTATCATGCAGTTATATGGGTACAAGTTTTCTTGCTTCACACTCAATATATAATTTGAATAATTTATCTTCACCTTGTTGTCTACGTCCATCAACAAGTTGCTGTTATTTTGTTATGGATAGAACTAATCAAATTTTGCCTTATAATACACCGGAAATTTATCATCCTAATTTAATTCAACCAATTTCTAATTCAAATATGAATTGGCGTAGAGGTTGTTCTGATAATCTTGTTCTTATGCTTACTCATCATAGTCCTGGTTCTAAAAATTCGTCTTCAGTTGTGGATAAGCTTCTTACAGGACGCTTCTTTCCTGGACCTACTTCTTGGCGTTCCGTATGGCCTTTTATTCCTAAAAACAATCCGAAATATTTCAACTGTACTAAACCTAAGAGTAATATGTCTGATTCTCTCGCGCTATGGTTTTCTGCATGGCTTTATTGTGGAGCAATACCTGTACTAGCCCAATTATGTGATTCAGCCTATTCAAATGCACAGTATTTCCCTCCTGACATCTCACAACCAAGTTGTAATTCTTCAAGATATTCAGCACAAGAACTTGTTTGGTCCCACCGTCTTGTGTATGGTGTCACGGAAAATAGTAAGTATCTATTTGTTTTAGTTCTGATTAGCGTATACAGTTTAATTTAGAGATTCAGCTTACCTTAATAAGACACTAGGTAAAATGACAAATCGTTTGATGAGACTAAATCTTCACCAAACAGGATGACTAACACACTTACTACGTATCATTAACAACTACTAAGCTCGATATCTAGTACTGTAGCAGCGAATGTGAATATGGTTAGGAGGAACCAAACAAGACGTGGCATCAGTTCAAGGAATAGTTGGTCGTTGATCTGATCCATGTTTGTGGGTACAGACAACCTTGTTGCTGCTCGTTCCTAACAGTTGGAGACCTTAGGTTGCATGTCACCGAATCAGTACTGTAATACACCACTTCTTATCCACCCCTAGATTTGGAATTTTAATGCCATTTCATACTTTCATTCCACGAATTCATCCCTTCTTTTCGAGCCATATTTTCAATATTTAATTATTCTTACTATCAGTGGCGCTATCATTATCTGATGCTATTCTTGGTATTTTCATCTAGCTATGTTGAAATGATATGGCAAATTGAACCAATGAACATCTGTATCCAAAACTTCTAATGTCAGTTAGAATTGATTATCAAAATAAGTTTTGTTAATATCACCATAAAGCTAGCCTCTTAAACTGCGTTAATTCTAAAGATGTTAAGGAACTGTAAATTGATTTTTACATGTTTAATTCTGTCGAGTTATGTATTATAAAATTATCTATCAAAGGTGAACAGTGACTAGTAGTAGAATTCAGGGCGTGCGTCCTGCTCAATTTAGGACTCGTCATCTATATGTACCTTCATCCCAGTTGTGCTCACATTAAAACTCAAACTCCAATACTTTTTACTTTCAATGTCAATGCATTATCTACCGATCTATTAAGTCCAAATAGCCACTAACTTTTTCAGCATGTGAATGAATAGCAACATCGAGACAATCCGCTTAAGATGCACATATACCAATAGCAAAAGATCAGTTGACAGTCCCTAACATCAACAACGAGGAAATAAATACTCTGATACCATAGAAGCAGTTTTATTGCAAATATCACTTTACGGAATAATTTTTTATTTCAGATTTACGCAATACGACTTATGGATATTGTGCCAGAATGTAAACAATAAAAATGAAGATAACAGTATGAAACTACAAACCTAAAATCACTTTAACTTTTGTCAAGTTTTTATTCAGACCTATAGCTGATATTAAATGTAAGATACTATTTCATATAATATCATCCAATGTATCCAATCTCTGAATGCGGTTATCGAAAATCTTCAATTGTCGGATTATCATGGAAAAGCAACAAACTTATATCAATATTTTTATCCTGCCGTGATAGCACTCAAAATCCCTAGCACAGGTGAGGGTGGGGAGAGTCCCCTTCCTCTCTTGAAATGTTGTAGTCTTGCCAAGCGCACATAGCCAATGTCAGGCCTTCTCACAGCGGTGTTGGTTACGAAATCAGAAAGATGAAAAGCGGATGCCCGACGCTTAATCCTGGTTAGTGGGTTCGCACGATCCACCTAGGGGAGTTGGGAAACCGATTCCAAACATATGGTGCACATGGGCTCCAGGATCCTGAGGGAACAAAAGGCGTATGGACCTATTTTTGGTCACCGGCCAACATAGGACTGCATCTCTTAATGTTGCCCCACCGTCTTGTCAATTAGACCTTTAGATTGAAGGCTCGAGGCATGGCTTCTTAAGAAAACCACTTGCTTCGATCTGGGTACCTAGGGAGTACCTTAGCCTACGCACATATCAAGTGCTGATTAGAATTGAAAAAACTACTCTCGCTTCAATTTGCACCCTAACAAATTGTATTTACAATTGTTTAACAATAGTCGTCCATATTTTATATTGCATAACTTGTCTGTTCTCTTTCACTCCCACTCTGTGTATTCCTTTATTCTTCAACTCATACAGCAGGTCGTTTGTGACGGAAACGCTGCTCTATTTAAGTGTTCTCAAGTCACTGATTGGTCGAAAGTTAAGTGCTACCACTAAATACGAATTCCGATCCCACCTTCTGACACCACGTATACCACTCAGACTGGTCTCCTTCGAGATTCGCACACGTGTATAGATCAGAAAACAGATAGGGTCTTTCGAAAGTCTCAATATCCACATTTGTTGTCCATCCCGAAACCCGTTTTTAAAACTAGTGTAGTACTCTCTGCCAAATGTTAGAACAGATTCATACATATTACAAACCGACAATCATAATGCCTCTTGATATCAAGGTCGCCTTCGATTTGTTGGAAAGCGGTTTTGCTCTACGCTTGTGAAACTGGCCCCCAAATGCCCTGGTACGGCCGAGAGTGGGGAGAGTCCGCTCTCCCTCTCGAAATATTCTCACACGGCCGCGCGTATACAGCCTCTGCCAGGGAAGTCCTACTCGCTGCCTTCTCGTGGCGGGGGTGTTGTTTACGAAAATGAGAGGACGAAAAGCGAATGTTCGGCGCTTTAACCGGATCACAAACCAATGGTGCACATGGGCTCCAGTATCCTGCGGGAACAAATGGCGAATGAACCAATTGTTGGTCACCGGCTTCCATGGGACTGTATCTCCTTACGATGCTCCACTGCCTTGTGGATCAGACCTTCAGGTCGAAGGCTCGGGGTGTGGCCCCCTAGGGAAACCACCTGCTTCGGTTTAGGCACCCGGGCAGTATCACAGCCCTCACACATATCGAATGAGATTTGTGTGGCGCATATGTATTTGGTGCCTCTTTGTACCATTATCTATGTGTTGAAATAAATAAATAAATAATGTGAAACTTAGCCTCTCTGAGTTAAGGATGTTAGACGAATCTCTGTGTTTGATCACCATCGTCTACAACGGATTGTTGATATTTAGTAGTAACGTCAGTAAGTGATCTTTAGTGCTGTTAGAGGTATGAGGGCGTTTAACACTTCCCGGTTTCCCGCACCGTGTAACGGTTGTTCTAGAGGTACCTAAAAAGGAAATTGGGTTAGAGGTGGTCCTACAACCTGAGAGCGTGACCACTGTACCCAAAGTGTAAATGCTTGAGACCGGTCACACACGACCTTCTTGTCAGTAGTTTTCGTGTTACATCTGTACTTGTTGGGACATCTCCACCGGAGACGGAAATATGTGGGATAAGACAGCCTCAACGATATGCTGGTTTTCGCAAGGAAAACATCTTACTGGCGTCACACCTCTGTACAGACAGCAGTAAGACTTCGCTCTCGGACCTTGGGTTTGCTGTTTTTAGTTTTACTGCTCTTCAACCGACCTGTCTGGCATGTTAGGACCTCGAAGAACGATTGCTTCAGCCAGTATAGCTCGATTGGTTCATTACAATAGGCAACCCCGACCACCACGTCAAAGTAGCAACAACGGTCGGGAAATATATGTTCGTGATGCAAAGGTTCGCCAACGTGTGTTTGAGCACAGCGACGATAATCCAGTTGGTGTCACTATCCCGAAACACTGATTTAAATATGTTGGCTTGGACATGTCCTACGAATGTCGTCCCAGAGAATGCCATGTCGTGCATTGCTTGCCAACGCTGAGGTTGGTTGGGAAAGGCAGAGACGTGGTCAGTGCATGACATGGTGCGGTGGTGTGATGAAAAGCTATACAGGACTGGTTTCCGTTGACCTTTCGAGACTTCCTGTTTGGGGTCCTAGAGATGGTGCAACACAGTGGCTTGAGACGTTATCAGAAATGTCTCTGAATAGAAGCCAGTGTTGGTCCAGCTGTAAATTTATTTTGCTTCATAAAAGTGGACGTAACTTCTTTAACTGAAATTTTTCCTGGTTGTATTTTTCTTAAACCAACTGCTTACCCTATTACTATTTCACTTCCATACACTAATTTCTATTCATTGTTGTTCGTTCTTCTTTTTTTAATATACTCACCCTTCATTCTCCATTTCTTAACAACCTCATTGTTATTGCGTGGCGCATATGTATTGTAGTATTCCTTTGTACCATCGTTTATGTGTTCAAATAATTATGTAAAAAAAAACTCGGCTTCGAACTAGTTTGTCAGAGGCCGTGATATTACTTCGTAACTGTATAAACCAAAGTGGGGCATCATTTAGATGGGTATTTCAACCATGAAATTTGTATTATTGTTTAAGATTTTTAAATCTCCAAAAGCTGTTCATTATTTTTAAAATGGATTTTCTCTGTATACTTGTCTAGTTTCGCCATAGGAAGCATCCTCCTTTTTCCCGCGGATAGAGATGCTTTTTTCTGTTACTGTTGTTACTTTCTAATATGACTTTTCTTACTTTAATTTCACGAGTTTTGTAAACATGTAAGTAGCTATCATTTGTGTAAACCACCCTTTTTTGGTTTACTTGATGTTTTTTTATTAGTTAAGGTCAGAATGAAGATAAGTAGTTGTATATGATCAGTAATCGATGGCGTCCTTAGGTTAACCGATACTTTAATCCTTTATTATTTTTGATTGAATTTAGTTTTTGTTTCCCTTTTTTAACAGATGAGGTTTACCTTACAAATCCAAACGAACTAGTCCCTGTCCAATATGTCTTGGATCAATTATCTAAGAAACCTGAAATCCGTATCTCTAAAGCACAAATTTCCAATTTATGGACAAAGCATTATTTACATTCAAAATTATGCCCTGACAGAGATCAAATTATAGAAGATAAGCAAAATATTTTTTGTAAATCAACATTTTTCACTGGTGAAAGTCTTACTTTACTTGCGAGACACCCGGATCCTAGATGGGCTTCTATGAATATAATGGGTAAGTAAAAGTAGACATTTATACTCGTGATACATTAGTGCTTTTTCTTTTCTAAATGTTATATTTTGCCAAATAAATCATAGTTTTAGAAAGGGTTACTGGTAATTTTGAATAAATAATCAACTAAAAACGTGAAGTAGTCGTATCATTTCAAGGATAAATCTAAATATAAAAAATTCCCATAAATCCCGTTCTCACACAGTCGTTTAGTAGAAGTTGTGGTAATTTGAAACCATCTATCTCGATGTCGAATCCGATTGTACTTCACTGAAATCACGAACCAATCTAAGTTAGACGACCATTGAAAACTTTCGAGCACTAAACGACGGTTTCTCCACAGTACGCGACTCAGTGGCACACATCTACGACGTGGGCTCGATTCCCAATTGCGAGATCATCGATAGGGATTAGCGGAAAGTTGCACACTAGGACGAAATGTCGGTCCAGTGCCTCCAGGTTTTAAATATCGTCTAATTGCTCGGTTCATGATTTTAATTAAACTCAACTCATTCGAAAGACATCTAATCACATCGACAACTGGATAAATTAGAAACATGGAATAGTGTTTTTATATATTTTAACCATGTCTGCTCTGTTTTTCTGTGATCAAGTCACCGTCCCATCTAAACGTTTAACAGTGATAAAATAAAAGTATGACTCATTATGCCCTGATAAATTCCTATCTAAGTTGTGTGTTTTTCTTCTTATCATGATTGGGTCAGCCACTGATGTCGCAATAAACATAGAACTTAGGATAAATGCATATCAGTTCAAGTTGCCACACCATATCAACAAACCATGATAAAGTTGTCAATGTGAATATCAGAAAAAGGTTGTAATATCAGGAATAGTATAGATGAAGTGATTCGGGAAAAAGCGGTATATTTGCAAAATAGCGTATGAAATAATTTTGAAACTCGAAACCTAATAGAGGACAAGTAATGAGTGTATCTGTGCCATTGTGATCGATTCTGAGCTATGTCACTCAAATTCAACAATTGATCACAATAACCGCACAGACCCCGGCCAAATAGATGGCACCTACTTAGATAAACAGCTCACTCTAGTAGTCTGTGACTTCACGAATATTTATTTTACATCTTGATTTGGCTTTTAATAGCCTTATTTTAGCTTAATACTATACCAGCAAGCATCTCGTATCGAAGTAAGCAATGGTTGGGCATACTTACACATTTCTTAACCACCGTCGACCAAGATTCAGAATCTCGTCAACCGATTTGTTGTTTTCCGAAAACCGCACGTCTAACTTCAGAATTGTTGCGGTTGCATATACAACTGTAATGTACAATACAAATTCCATGGTATATTTACTGACTCATGCTCAAATAGGTACAACTGGTCATTGATAAACACTATAGTCTTAAATGACTACTTCGAAAGTGCGATGAGTGACATTCCTTATATTAAGTCAGTTTGTGGTGCTATTCTTACCCTGTTCGATTGTCACTGACAGAAACCTGTCGATGCAGTGAGCCCCACTAGCCTCCAAAGAGACTTAGAAATTACTCTTTCAAGCTAACTCACTATTTAGTTCTACTTTCCTCTCGTTGAATAAAAATTCTCGACAACCCACTTTGGAATTGGTTATCAATCTTGTCATAAGTTGTATTAAGGAATAAGTAGTATACTGTATCGCAAACCGAAGGAATTTCGAAAGTGTCAACTGTTTGTTTGAATTCAAATGTTGCTTTTTTACAGTAAAATGGTAACTTTGTTACAAGGTGTAAATATACAGCTGTGTCAAAATACACTGCGTAGTATATCATCATATACAAAGTTGAAACCAAGGCAAAATTTAACGTTTATGGTAACTGAGCGACTTCTAACTGATAGATTCTTACAGAAAGTCAATGTGCTTATTCGCTAACTTCCCTTTGTGCTAAGTAATTGCCTTCTTTATGTAGTACCAAGGCTTTAAATTGTACTATTTTTCCATCTTTTTATTTAGGACAAGTATTGTGTGCTTTGCGCAGTTTGGAGCGTTGGGCTGATACTCTAGAAATATCAACCGTGGTATCGTTAGATTGTGTAAACCACCAATCAGCGTTATTTCCTGATACAACTCCATCTATCAGTTGTAGTCGTACAAACTCTACAGAGGTGGAACAATTTTCAAATTCTCCAGCTATTATCATTCCATCAGCTCAATTGCCTGGAATTAGTCTTTTTGTCGAAAAATCCAATTGGGAACTAGTTCGTACATTATTACAAACTAAATGCGTAGAATAAATGTCGCAAACATTATGATTTCATTTGATTTAGTGAAAATTGCCATGCATTTCATTTAGAGTTCATCAATTCCTGCTTGTGATCATTATAAACCTCTCGTAAAGATACGCTAGCTTGTACATATAAATTTTTCTTTTTCAACATTTTGACTGCAGTCAATCAATGCTGATCACTGGTTTATTATTAACTGCTTTCAATATATTTTAAATATTTTTCCACTTTTTATTTTAGATAATCTTGCAGGGTCATTCTGTACCTTTAAAGCTACAACTGGAAATTGATATATATATATATATATATATATATATATATATATATATATAATGGTCTTATTTATTACAGCTGTTTGGTAATTTTGTTTTTGCGATTAAATAAAATAATCGTTTAAATTTTATGCGAACCATACTCTTTTTTGTATATCAGCAACGAAATAGAACTTTGTACGTATATAATATGCAGTAGGCTATCTTCTCCATTAACTGATGTATTGCCATGTTTTCGAACTAAATTTTAAATCTCTGGAAGGTTTGAATAAGTAATAAAAATATAAGCAAACGTACATTTGTACTGATATGAATGATTTGTCCAAGTCTACGGAAATTTTACTATTTCTAAATGAAATTTTAAAATATCATGTATATCCACCTACGGTTTTAAGGGAAAACAACCTTATACGACGGTCTGTCAGTTTGAATGGTCGTATTTCAAGACAGCACAGGAAATTAGTCACAAGGACTTCATTAAAAGTCGTTTCGAAGGACACATGAATAGATAACCATTACTATACAGGGGATTTGTGGAGACTGTTGAATTTGATAGTTAACATCAGATTGGTCTTGGCTTAACTATCGCAAACCAGAAGGTAATGGATAGGCGTTTCGACATTAGGCGCGTAAACTATTGGATCCGGTTCAGTGGTCTAAAGGTCAAGGGCTTGCCGCGAAACCCGAAGGTCCTGCGCTCGACCTTCGGCGAAGTCTTAGTGTTGAGTTCAATACTAGGACGGAATAACTCTCCGGTGCCTCCTAGCTTTCAATAGCTGTTTGATTAAAGTCAATCCGATATTACCTGTAAGGTAACTACTACTTACTGAGGTTTGATTTGTGTAGCGCATATATATTTGGTGCCTTCTTGTACCAACGTCCATGTATTTAAATAATAATGGTCTTATGACTAATATTCAGGATAAAACCTACTATTGTTTCCATACTCTTAGAGAAAATATTAGGGTTTGTTTAGCACATCGTAATCCCTAGGAAAATCCATCAGCACGTTATCCTTCAATGCGAAAACTTTGCTGAGTTATAGCAAAACAATACATCCACTAAAACTTTATGAACTTTGAAAACACTTCATGTATTTTACTAGCAAAAAACAAACATATACATTTTACATATCAAGGAGAGGATCTTATTTACCAAACATGAAAGAAGTCGATTATCATCTAAAGCATATTTTGCACTGCCTGCTGTTGTACAATGAAATGCCCGTCGTCTTCTGTACAGCGCATAATAAACCCATATAAATATTAGGTGTCTGCATTAGGCATTTGCTTCTTCACAAGCATCGATCCAATCATTGTAGACATCAATCTCTTGGCTAAGATAATTTATTTTAGTCTGGAAGTCTTCTAAACATATTGTACACTTAATGTAACCGATATTGTTATCCCGTTGCCTGAAAAACGTAAAACTATGACATTTATTGAATGAAAAACTTACAAGATAACTTCACAAGATCGACCATGATTGCAGAACGGACAATTAAACACTTTGTCAAGTGGGACAATAGCTTTTCGCTTTGGTGGAGGCTTGTTACTACTTCGGCGACGACCCATATAAAATTTTGGAACAGTAAACTATTCTAGAGTGTGAACTAAAAGATTTAAGCGGAATTTAGTAGAATTTTGGAATAATTCGCGAAAAATCTCCAAAAATGAAATATCATAGAAACAATAACCATACAGGTTAAACAAATAGACTTCAACAATACTAGATAAGACAACCAAGATGAAGAAACAGGACAGATATTATAGGAAATTCTTTTAACGGTTGAGGGTAGTAAACAGGAAATTTTGAAACTAGGTTTTGTCGGGAAGGTGTACCTGTAACCTTGAGGGCATTATTAATGCTCCCTAGCGGACCTGATCTCATGTGACACACCATAATCAGAGACGTTACCGCTTATCTATTGAGGGTTCGGCCGACCTCCTCTAGGACATTATTACAATTGAGTAGTAACTAATGTCGAGTCGCTAAGACTAGTGGCCACATTCCAACTTGATCGATAAATATTCAATCAGGACTAAGATGGATTTGACATACATGACACTGGTCACTACTCAGTGATCAATTAGATGTAAATCGTCTTAGTCATAATCAGAAATCAGTAAATATATCAATGTTTCAAAACTTGGTGGTAACTGGGAGTGTGCTCAATCCATTTTAGATTTAATTTGAAGGGCAGTTCATATTTCATGATTTACTATTCTTGAAGTCAGATTACCGCCAAATGCATTTTTGCTGCGGGGGTGTTGTTTACGAAATTGAGAGGACGCACGGCGCTTCAACCGTGTTTGTGGGTTCGTGTGACTTACCTAGGGGGCTGTAAAACCCTGATTCCAAACCAATGATGCACATGGACTACAGAATCCTAAGGGACCAAATGGCGTATGAACCAATCGTTGGTCACCGGCTACCATGAGACCGCATCCCCTAGCGTTGCCTCAGTACCACGCGGATTGGATCTCTAGGTCGAAGGCTTGAAGAGTGGCCCCCTAAGAAAACCACCTGCTTCGGTCTGGGGTTTATTTATTTATTTGGACACATGAATATTGGTACACGAGAGCGCCAATATATATGCGCCACACTTGTGTGTGGGCTGTGATACTGCCCGGGTGCCCAAACCGAAGCAGGTGGTTATCTTAGGGTGCCACACCCCGAGCCTTTGACCTAAAGGTCTAACCCACAAGGCAGTGGAGCATCGTAAGGAGATGCAATCCCATGGTAGCCGGTGACCAAAGATTGGTTCATTCGCCATTTGTTCCCGCAGGATACTGGAGCCCATGTGCACCATTGGTTTGTGATCCGGCTAAAGCGCCGAACATTCGCTTTTCGTCCTCTCATTTTCGTGAACAACACCCCCGCCACGAGAAGGCAATGAGTAGGACTTCCCTGGCAGAGGCTGTGTACGTGCGGCCGTGTGAGAATATTTCGAGAGGGAGAGCGGACTCACCCCACTCTCGGTTGTACCAGGGCATTCGGAGGCCCTTATACAAATCGAATGGTGGAGTGTGGCAAATATATATTCGGTGCCCCCCTTGTACTAATATTTGTGTTTAAATAAGATAAAAAATCATACATTTAATAAATATTGGTCTTAGATATTCGAAAACCAAACTAATCAAGTTGATTTTTTCTAATTATTACACCGGAATTTCTGCCGTTTTTAAAACTTCAGTGACTAGCAACTGAGAACAATCAAATTGGATACTCGAACGAAGGTATAAGAGAGTGCACAAAAGTTAGCGGGTCGCATAGGTAAATCAATAATTTTGGACTGTGAATCGTAAAGATCTTCGTAATTAACTCATTAAGTTTTGCTGTTCGTCTTTGTCCAAAGTTGGTTAGAAATGCCAAGATCAAAGGAATAATCTTAAGGTTTTCAAGCATTTATGTCACGAATATTTCACATCGAGTGTTATTAGGAACTAAATGGATAATTGCAACCCATATTACTAACATACTACCACTTTCGCAAGCAGTCGTATCGGCCTCCTTTCCACAATCTATATTTGAAATGCTTTATGAGCAGCTTTGCTCACCGCAATAAAAGTTATTCAAAGAATGGATCCAGGTCCGATATGAGGATCAACATTATGAATTTACTACATTCCATGATTAGAAAAACAATTTTATTTTTTAAAACCGGTTTTTATTGTCATTTTGCAGACGAATACCTTACAGTTTATCGGATTTTTGCAGAAACGTTTGGTATTAACGATTTACAAAGTACCTATTTCGTAAGCACGATAATTTATTTATTTATTTGAACACATAAATATTGGTACAAGAGGGCACCAAATATATATGCGCCACACAAAACAATGAGAATTCGAAGAGAAAAAAAGGACAATAACGAACAGATTAGTGTAAGGTAGTCGAATAATAATAATAGTAATGATGGGGAAAACGGAGAGGTACAATCAGATGAAATCTTTCAGTTAAGGGAGACACAACCACTTTGTATGAAGAAAGTAAAAGGTTACAGCAGAATCGCCACTGGCTTCTATTCTGAGCCATATCTGATAACGTCTCTAGCCACTGTGTTACATCATCTCAAGGACCCCAGCCAGAGAGTCGTAAAGGACCAACAGAAGTCAGCCCTTTACAGCTTTCTTTCATACCACGACACCATGTCATACACTGAACATCTCCCCGCTTTTTACAACCAGTCCCAGTGTCAGCAAATAATGCACGACGTGGAATTCTCTGGGACGACATTCGTAGAACATGTCCAAGCCACCGAACTCGATGTTTCAAGATGGTGACACCAATTGCATCATCATCTCTGCGCCCGAACACACGATGCCGAACCTCTGCATTACTAACATGGTGTTGCCACTGGATGTTAGCAATCCTTCGGAGACAGCGATGATCGAACACAAAGAGTCGTCTAACGTCCTCAACTCGGAAAGGCCAGGTTTCACAAGCATAGAGCAAAACTGCTCTCACTGACGCGTTGTAGATCCTACCTTTTACAGTCAGATTACATCACGAAGGCGCCAGAGATGGCATAAGCCGCTCTGGCTTTCACTATACGTGAATTGATCTCATCACTCACGCCACCACCAGCACTTATGCAGCTACCCAGATATACGAACTTCTCGACTACTTCTATCTGCTCATCATCCGGGGTGAGTACAGGATTAGAATCCTGCCAGTCCTGTAGAAGTACTTTGCACTTCGAAGGTGCAAAGCACATACCATACCTACGAACATTGATTGCCAACTGATTAAGTGCGGATTGCATGGCTTTGGCATTATCGCACAGTAAGACAATGTCATCTGCATACTCAAGGTTCAGAAGTCTTTCTCCAGGCAACAGATCCACACCGCCATTACTTACATCCATCAGCGCTTTTTCCAGAATGTCATCGATGGCAAAGTTGGGGAGGAATGGTGAGATTGGGCAACCCTGACTAACCCCACTGCTCGAATGGAACAATGGAGAGAGGTGGTTTTATGCCCTCACTCTACCTGAGGTGTTTGTATACAGAGCCTTTAGGTTGTTAATAAACTTCTCAGGCACACTCTTCTTCAACAGACAATCCCAGAAAACAGTCCTATCCAACGAATCGAAGGCAGCTCTTATGTCAAGAAACACTACGATTGTTGGCCTGTGATAAGTATGGCAGTGTTCTAACATTGGGCGGAGGGTGAAGATATGATCAATACATCCTCGACCAGAACGAAACCCAGCCTGCTCCTCGCGAGTCAATCTTTCTCGGGTTTTGAACAATCTACGAAGTATGACGGAAGCCAATAGCTTGGACGCAATAGGAAGTAGACTTATCCCCCGATATAAATAAAAATAATATATTTGTAATATCCCAATGAGTAGAAAATTGGATTTTCTACTCATTGGGATATTACAAATATATTATTTTTATTTATAACAATCAACCCAATGCTCAATTTATTCGAAATTATCAAATCAAACCTTGGTAATGACACCTTATCCCCCGATAGTTGTTACAGGAACGACGTGAACCCTTTATAAAGATAGGGACAACTACGACTCATTCCATGACGTTGGTACACTCTCCAGCTCTCAGACCTTCGTAAACAACACAGTCAGTTCCTTAGCCAGAAAGTCACCATAATCTTTATAAAGGGTCGAAGGTAAGTCATCTGGGCCAGGTGATTTGTAGCGTTTCAAGAGTTGGAGTTCCTTGCGGACTTCCGCCTCATTTGGTGTATCAGTCGTCACCGGCCATGGAGGGCAGGACAGTCCGACCGGTGTTGACAGAGCAGCAGATCAGTTGAACTGCCCTTCGAAGAATTCTGCCCATCGTCCAAGACGTCGATGGATGTTAGTGATTGGCATCACGTCATCCTCACAGATTGTTTCGCTCACACCAGACTTCTTGCTGCCAGTGGCTCGCATGAGTTGGAAGAGCTTCCGGTAATTACCAGATGCAGCTGCTGCTTCCAGCTCATTAGCACGCTCCAACCACCAGGCTTCTCGGTCCTTACGCAAGCTTTTCCCGGTTTCATTGCGTAACATCCTTCGTTTGTGGTTAAACTCACGGTCACCCGGAGTAGATCGACGGGTTTCAATGAGTTGTAAAGAACCAGAAGAAACATAGTGTTTATAAGCGGGACGTTTCGCGAAGCCGCAAGCGGCTTTACTCGCCATTTTGATGGTGTCATGAAGTTGCAACCAATGTTCATCTATACTTCTCGGTGGAGTGGTAGCTAGCCTAGAAACTAGCTCAAGTTCGATATTTACTAGCAACAGAAGTTGCAACCAACTTGTTGACATCAATCCTTTGGTGGTGGTCACTTCGTTGGTCACTGAAAAAAGGTAAGGTTGGCGCAGACCAGGGCATGATCAGAATCCAGATAGGTACTCCAACAGGAGTGGCAGTCTTGTACACAACCACGCCAGCGGTAGGTGATCGCGATAAGCACAGATCTAGAAACACAAATCAAATATACTTAGCAGATTTGTTTTTTTTTGCTAACTGGCTAGGCTTTCTGCAAGATTGTGCACTTTACGTTGACATCGATCTTTCCTAAGTATACATAGGATTAGTAGTAATTTGTTAGTAGTGAACTAAGGACTTCATACTTAAAGGATGAAGGGAAGAACAAACGTATTTCTAGCCCTGCAGATGTGCTGGAAGATAGTTTTAAAAATTCCAATAGGCTTTTGCTAACTTGGGCTACCTGTGGATTAGGCGAAATATTAGTATGGCTACCAAATCGAGAACATACTTCATAGCCTACTTCCCGATACTCTGCAGTCACGGGACGGCTTTTTAAAGTAGACCTTTGCATGTTACCAGTATCTGACTATAGATAACTTGGAAGTACTACTTAGTAATGATGAAACTACCAAAGATTTGGCACATAGCAAAAAGGTGAATAAATGAAAAGGTTGCGAAACCACATTGACTAGTATGGTTAGGATGGATTTTGAGCGTGACAAACTACCACTAAATTCAAATTGAGATGTTGATGACAGTTGTTTTCGGGGGATATCCATAGATGGGGACTGTTTAATTGTGGCCTGTCCACAGTTGAAGACAATGGGTGATACGGTTCAAAATAGGCTGAGGTGGTACACTACCTTGCTCTCAAACTTCATTTCCAACACTCCATTCTGCCATCTCATTTGTTCATCGTAAACTGTATCTGTATTAAGATATCCATTGTAGCTGGAACCGTTTCCACACTTTTACTTCTTATTTCATTTATTTCTTTACTTGCTCTGTTGACATGAGATGTGGTAACTTAGACTTATGGACATTCCCCCCAGGTTCTACGCTAATAGTGGTTAACAGATAAGGAAAAAATTCGAATTAGCGTGTGAGATAACTTCCGTCGGTTTTGAAAACCACCACGACATGCTGACTTGCAGGTTGCTTCACGTTGATTATCTTAAATAATTATTCTGAGTTATTCGTGTCGATGTGTTGACAAACTGCACGGATGATGAGGTCGTTTTTTCATAGATATACTACCTTTGATGTCGGTTAATATACGTACTGAATAAGTGATAACTTATTTCATGTTAGACACCATAGGATGATTTATTCATGTCATCATAATTGAGGTTGGGAATAGTAATAAAACTTTGAAGTTAATTAGGTAATTACTTGCCCCCAAATGCCTTGGTACGGCCGAGAATGAAGAGAGTCAACTCTCCCTCTTGAAATTCTCTCACATGGCCTCGTGCATTCAGCCACTCCCAGGAAAGTCCTACCCACTGCCTTTTCGTACCACAGGTGTTGTTTACGAAATTGAGAGGACGAAAAGTGAATGTCCGGCACTTTAACCGGGTTGGTGGACACGGAGAGTTCACCTAGGAGAGTTGGAAAACCCTGATTCCAAACCAATGGTGCACATAGGCTCCAGGATCCTGAGGGACCAAATGGCGTATGAACTAAACATTGGTCACCGGCTACCATGGGACTGCATCTCCTGACGTTTCTTCTCTGCCCCGTGGATTAGATCTCTAGGTCGAAGGCTCGGGGAGTGGCCTCCTAAGAAAACCAACTGCTTCGGTTTGGGCACTCGGGCAGTATCCTAGCCCTCACACAAGTCGAATGATTTATATGGCACATATCTATTTGGCACCTCTTTGGACTAATGTTTACGTGTTTAAATAAATAAATAATTTTCAACGGTTTGGGAGCATTAAGGTCTAAGTGGACTGTTTCTGTGTGAAACAGTATAATATGGAATTCAAGACGTATTGTCCTTAAAATTCACAACTATTCAAGTTTAAAGGAGGACCGTAATCCATTAAATGGGATAATCAGACGACAACTCCATTAGATAAATTTGCTATCACGTGAATCACCTTAACTTGTCAGTAGTGCAACGCTTTAGTAAACCTTTAATGAGTATTTTAGGACTCATAAAATTTGTCTATAAATAGGATTTTTCGTCATATACTAAAGCTTGAAAGAACTGCATAGGTTTGAACTCGTGGAATATGTTATGCTGGGTTCGGATGAAGTGATGAAAAGATCATGCTCAAAAAACTATTAAGTAACCAGTCAAATTCCAGTTATAATAGGAATATTCTACATGATACTTAAAAATCATTGAAGCACGTCGGTCTACTCCAGGTGACCGCGAATTTGACCACAAATAAAGACGGCTACGTAATGAAATTGTGCAAAGCTTGCGTAAGGAACCAGAAACCTAGTGGTTGGGGCGTGCTAACGAAGTGCACGAAGCAGCTGTATCTGGTAGCTACCGGAAGCTCTTCCAACTCATCCTAGTCAATAGCAACAGCAAGTCTGATGTGCGTGAAACGATCTGTAACGCTAGTCGATTAAATTTACCGACGTCTTGGACAATGGGCAGTCTCTCAATGAGCAGTTTAACTGGTCTGCTGCTCCAGTGACATCGAGCAGACTGTTCTGTCCTCTCTGGCTAGTGTCGACTGTTCCACCCAATGAGACCGAAGTCCGCAAGGAACTTCAACTCTTGGAACACTACAAATCACCAGGCCCAAATGACCTACCTCCAATCCGTTTTACAGTTAGTAGTGACATTCAAGTTAAGGAACTGAGTTGTTTGCAAATGTATGGCAATTAGAGTGTTACAACATCCTAGAATGAGTCCATAGTTTGAAAGAGTTCACGTCACCCATGCAACAACTATCGGGGGATAAGTTTACTACTCCCGATCGCATCCAAATTATTCACTTCCATCGTACTTTGTAGACTATTCAAAACCCGGAAAGGACTGACTCGCAAGGAGCAGGCTAGCCTCCGTTCTAAACATACTTATTACAGGCCAACAGTCACAGTGTTTCTTGACACCAAGGCCGCCTTCGACTGTTCTCTGGGGTTGTCTAGTGGAGAAGGGTGTTCCTGAGAAGCTTGTTAACATCCCGGAGGCCCTATATGCAAACACCTCAGACAGAGTGAGGGCATGCAACCACCTCTCTCTATTGTTTTATCCAGGCAGTGTGGTTAGTCAGGGTTGCCCAATCTCACTGTTCCTCTTTGACTTTGTCATCGATGGTGTTGCGAAGACAATTCTGATGTCTGTAGGCAGTGGTTGTGTGGATCTGTTGTCTGTATAAAACTTTCCGACCGTGAGTATATTGCCTTACTGTGCGATGTTGCCCCAGCCACATAATCGGCACTTAACCAGTTGGTAATCAGTATTTGTAGGTATGCCATGTGCTTTGCACATTCAAAGTGCGAAGCACTTTTACAAGACTGGCAGGAACCTGAACCTGCACTCACTCTGGGTCGAGAAGTTTGTGTATCTGGGCAGCTGTGTAAGTGCTGGAGGTGTGAATGATAAGGCCAGAGCGGCTTATGCTAATCTGGGCCGTCTTTGGCACCTTCGTGATGTTAGTCTGTCTGTAAAAGCTCGGATCTAAAACGCGTCGATGAGAGCAGTTTTGCTTTACGCTTGTAAAACCTAGCCTCTCTGAGTTGAGGATGTTAGACGACCTTCTGTGTTTGATCATCATCGTCTACGACGAATTGTTGATATTCAGTGCCAAAACCATGTTAGTGGTGCGGAGGTTCGCCAACGTGTGTTTGACACAGCGACGATAATTCAGTTGGTGTCACTATCTCGAAACACTGACTTAAACATGTTGGCTTGGACATGTCCTACGAATGTCGTCCCAGAGAATTCCATGTCGTGCATTGCTTGCCAACGCTGAGGTTGGTTGGGAAAGGCAGAGACGTGGTCAGTGCATGACATGGTGCGGTGGTGTGATGAAAAGCTATACAGGACTGGTTTCCATTGACCTTTCAAGACTTCCTGTTTGGGGTCCTAGAGATGGTGCAACACAGTGGCTTGAGACGTTATCAGAAATGTCTCTGAATAGAAGCCAGTGATTGTCCAGTTCTAAATTTGTTTTAGTTTGTTCATTTGATTGAGAGGAAATTCTATAAATGAAATAATGCTTCTTGGGTTTTTTTCCCTAAATCAACTGCATACCTTATCATTTTTACTATTATCTCAAGGGCGACCAGTCTTATACACTCATGATACACTACACCATACGCATCTCAAAAACATATACTGGAAGATGGAACCATCAAACTCTTACGATTTATGTAACTACTAAGATTATTAGTATTCCAATCGATAGTCCCATAACGCTTATGGTGAATTCGTCAGGTTTACACGAATATATATATATATATATATATATGAAGCAAACTAGTGTGGTCTTTGTTGCAGCAAGCGAACTTTTAATATGTATAAACCGTCTGAAAGTTATCAGCGCTAAAAATGCATAACTAACTGCAACACTCACACCTAACTACTTACCTCCAAGTGCAAAATCCAAATGCGCGCTAGCAAGTGCCTTTCAATAACCAATATCATCGTCCCGAGCTTGTGTAGGCGGATTGTCTTATTTTCGCTCGCATCTTATCGTCTCTGCTCGGTTTCAGGAATTTATTAATGTGCGATGGTTTGTGGGTTAGCCATTTGATTGTACTAATTCTAGTCTGTTTTATTAGTTTATTTGGGATTTGTATATGGTGTAGTCTGACTAGACGCGTTTGTCTTAGGGAAGTAGTTCTATTGCATACTGTCAAATGTTGCATCGCCTGTCAGTAAACTAGTTGTTTGCAATGTGTGAGATAATAAAAAGATAGCTCGAGTCTTAGGAAAAGACGACTATTTCAATCTATACAGAAATATTTTATTCAATTGGTAGTGTTGGCATTTCGAGGAGATCAATGGATGGAGATGACAATAAACGAAGCAAGAATAGGTAAATGATATGTGATAAAGATAACACTTAGCAAGTAATAAAACATGAATCAGGCATAGCTGTTCCAATCGGTCGCTGATTTTAGATTGTTGAGTGTGTGTTTGTGTTGCATATGTACTAAATGATTATTCCTATGTACTTGATTTAGCGCTCAGTACAAATCCCATAAGTGATACATTCAGTATTATTCATCTAGTTTTATTTGTCTTGAACTGTACTATTTTAGGAGTTATTAATTAGTGGCCCGGTATCTGACTCTAGTTAGATCGGATGAATAATCATTATCGAATGATTGCAGTCAAAATATACGAGAATGAAGTTTTGAATACGCAAGTTTCGTACGCTCATTGATTTAGACATACAATCACAGGAACAAAGCGAAGGAAGCGAAGAGAAGAGAGTGCAGTGAAATGATGTGCAGTCAAGACGGCAAGTGTGTCAAATCACTTTAACCAATCGTTAATCGATATTTCCAGTCGAACAAGACATGCGATGAGTAATATATCAAATACATACACATAAGCTTACACAAAAAACAATCAAGGTTGATAACCAATAATTAACAAGGTCAAACTCAAGAATGAATACATTGGTTCATCTGAAAGCCCATAAAAGTTATGTGTGCTTCATATAATAATCGACACTACAATTAGTTAAGACGTCAATGTGAATATTTCTGGTCGACATATTGGCGTGTCGACGGAGCCTCTGATTCAAAAGTTGGACTTACATTCAAATACTGAAGACTTTGAAGATTATATGGAAAAGTTTGAGGTATTAATTATGACTAGGATAGCTGTTAAAGATGATAAACTCGTGGCTCGTTTCTTGCATTCATCGGAATGGACACCTACAGCTTACAATAATATTTGGCATTTCCAAACAGGCTTATTTCACTTCCCAATGAATTGCTCAGAGATCTGCCATTAAGTTATGCAAAATATACGTATTTTAAATGTCGCCAAAGACCAAAGTCTCATAAAATTATCCATCAGATTAAACCAATTGTTAGAGATTTTACCCCGAATTGCAAAAACAAGCCTTCAAGTTCGATTTTTGTAATCAACTTCATATCTTGCTGCATGACCGACTGATTATAGGAATCAGAATATCAAATCTGGAAAGATAGCCTATAAAATTACTGAAGTGTTTCTTCCATGACGCCAGTACATGAGAGCGACTTTCATGTCATTCTGACTGGTATTTATGGTCATGCAAACAGGCGTTGGAATAGACCTAATCTCCGTTTGGATGAAAACACGGAAAACGGCTCGTTGAACAGTTGGAAAACATTGAACAAAGATGAACATGAGTTTGGTAAGTGTTCATCATGTGGTAAACCTCATTCACGTAATTCATATGTATTCCGTCATCCTAGGTGTTTTAATCGTAGAAAAATCGCACACGTCAATTCTGTTTGTAGAGTCACTATTCATTTCTCCACCACTGATAAGAACCTCGGTAATCCGGTCCTGTTCTGGTAATCACAAAAGATACTTACTTAAAACTTTGAGTAATTCACCTTACATTTAGAAACAATTATGTTTATCTGATAGTGCTTTTTATAATTTCAGTGTTGACACTAGTAGTATGAAATATGGCAATTCACTCGGAAAGTTGAAGTCACTAAACCGACGGACGTTTCCATTTCGAGCATCACCGGTCATAAACGTCTTATTCTTGAATGCTGTAATCCACTGATCAGGGATGATAAATTTCAATGACAGCTCATGAATCCCTCACTAGTGTTTATGGATGATCTACCCTGGATGTAGAACATTTACGAATGCTTCAGAGAATACATTCCTCACTAATCAATGAATATGATTCTGGTGAAATGCCTGGTAACTCGTTTACAACAGAATTGAAATGCAAGGATCTGTACATAACTCCAAGACTTTTTTTCTGACGCTAAAGAAGAAAATGCAGAGGCCTTGGAAACACCAACCAATTTTATTACTGTTACGAAATTCGAAGACTCGGTGAGTGGAGTAGCACTGAAATGTCACACCATAAAGTACGACGGATGTTTCAAAATATTTTTCTCTCCCTCAGGCATGCTATGCGATAATATATCAATACCATAACGAGATCGATCACATCATATCACATACAGGATTATTAGCCCAGAATAGAGAAGCAGATAAAGTGTCTTTCAGGTCCTATTCTTGTGTAGTGTATATTTACTCATTTTTATTATTTTTCTCCAAATTCTACATTATCATTCTTAAATTACCTCAAATTTTGCCTTTAGTTTACTAAGTAGCACGTACAGTAATAACGTTGCCTCCAAAACGTGTACTATAACTAGCAGAACTAGAGATCTCAATGCATTATTTGACAATAGGTCGACAATACTCGTTCCTAGGAACACGATCATAAGAAATTTCAAGTAAGCATTATGTAAAGAACCTCCAGGCAATATAAGCAACATTGATCATTCAGCTCAAACACCAAACTTGAATCTTCAAGTGAGTAGTCAGGATCACTCTCTTATTTTTAGTGAGACCAGCAAGCAAAGGATTAGTTGGAGCTAATGGGGTCTGGAACTACTCATAACTCAGTCTACTATAAAGAAGCGACACAAGTACGATAAATGTATCGCATGGTCGTCGCTTGTCAAAACCAGAGACCGAACACTTGGATAAGATTTCTGTATTGGCTGAGTCCACCATCTCCTTGATATCGCAGTATATAAGCAGTACTGAGGAGTTATGTCAGATTAATCCTGTCTGCGGTTCCGGAATGTATGACTGTGGTGTACAAGATTTAAGAATGTGACATTCTAAAGTTCTTGGATCCGCCAGACAAGGTTTCTATCAGTTCTCTACACATTGTAGTGCTATTGGATTTATTAATTGCAGCTTTCATCTGAATGAAACTAAAAAGGTTCTCTTTGAGGTACGTGTTCGATCACCACCAGAAAATTGACCGCCCACGTTATATGACGCGGACTCTAAAGGTTGTTATTTTTTTCGTGGACTTCCCCTGTTAGCTTTAATGGCTTACGTTTCACATAGTTCGCTTTCTTTCGTTCAACAAAGTACGTGTAGTGTACGAATATTGCATTTACGACTATTCCAAGATTTTCATCATCAAATATGCTAAGTTCTAATGGTCTCTGGTCTGCTGATATGAACCATACTCACATTATTTAAAAATTATGCCAGTGCCATCTAAAATACATATTATCTGATCTGGTGAATACAGCACCTGAAAAAGAATCAAATCCGTCACCAAGGAGGATAATATTAAACTGTATAAACATGCTAATCATTCTTTATCGTGCTCTGATCTTTCTAGGACTACACTAGACCTGAACTAGCACTTTGGCATGATATCGCTTTACCTTGTCTCAAGCTTATAGATTTAAATAAAACCAATTGTAAACCGTGTGACCCGAAATTTTTCATTACTACTTGTGATCCACCCAAAGTGTCGCTTATTGTGAGCACCGTTTAAAAATTGTAGCTGACTCGAAGCACTCAGCAAACGCATAACGTATGCGCTGTATAGCGGTTCACCGATAGTAAGTCTGCCTTCAATAAGTGATCCAGTGGTGTGGATCTTGACTATTAACCTGAAACTGTATTCTCGTCTTCATCTAAGTATAAACAGATGGAACACCCGGTAAATGCTTGTAACAATTCTATACGGAACCCTGTTGATCTTAACAATTTTTACGTGGATTCTATGAGCGATCAGAAAAAAATAAAGCTCCTCAAACTATTCACGATTTGTTATCATACAAACGCCCAAACAGTGTTCCTTAAAATTCTGATCTCGGAATTATAAGAACCGGAGAACTGAGTGACCATATGTGCTTGAGAGTGCTGAAAAGACGTAATTATATGCAGAATGCCATTGCGTGTGATATGTGAAAACCTAAGGTCGGTTAAAACACTCTACTACAGGAGTGTAGATAGTTACACCCTTGTGGTGCAACATAAAAATCAAGAAAAGTCCAAAATAGAGTATCCTGTCTCATCTGCTTTCAGTTTATTAGTACCAAAGAGGAGAATCACTTCATTAATAGTCAACTTTTACTTCGGCGCATTTCGATTACGAAAAACAATAGAATAATCTATGACAGGACATGCATCCAAAAGTGAACCATCAAAGAAATACACATCAGCCAATCTAATCCATTCACTGAAAACAGTCACAATTATGGCCACACAAAAACTCTCAAATGGCATTCCTCAGCCCTCACAACATCTAAGCCACACTGTGTGTTAATACTTGTTCAGAAATCGAAAGTATACATGAAACAGCTGCGAAAATAATCCCGGGACCTAACGCTCAACTACTGCCTAGTCTCAATTCAACTATACATCTACAATCGTCTAGGATTATTTCAGAGGCACCGATAAATCCCCAACGACTATGCTTGACAGGTATCTTTCTAAAAATGGTGCTGCAAGCTATAGCCATTCGGTCACTAAAATACAGAGATCATACAGACTTCTTTGAAAAAATCTGCAAGAAATTCATTGCCGTTAGCCCGAAACATGAATTTGTTCACAGCAATGGTAGATCCTAAGACACACAAAGGATTAACAATACTTAATTACTCGGGTACGCGGCCAAGTCTGTCTGAGACCTTGCCTTCTCACGGCACTGGCCAATGGTTTAGGGTGAACTTTAATAGTTTTAAGCGTCAGGACACTACTATATGCAACATGAACGCCTTCTAACTATAGTTTCAGGAAATTACTCATTTTTAACCCAAAACATACAATGCCTTTGACTGCCCACGCCGAGGATCGGCTGCTTCTATGCACACAACATCATTACAATGCTGATCCATCTGTGTACGTGTACAATGAGGTAAACTATCTAATACAATCTCTGGTTCTCACCACTTTGACACAAACGCCACCCCATACGTCTTTAGTTTTCTTCCACTCAACATTCTTTCTATGCTGCCTAAAACTGTTGAGTGTGATATTCCCACTCTTTTAGGACTATCCTCTATATACTCTGACTAAATACGGAGCGATAAACGTCACTTCACCAACAAATTCCCCAGTCCTGATAACTCCTTGTCAGACCATTCTAACGATTTTTCAAATAAACCACTTATCCATACAACCCACTCTACTTCGCCTTTTACCTCTAAAAAGGTTTATTCTTTCACGATACCACCCTCTGACCACTTCCCTTCCACTAGCCATATTGATAACAAACCAAACGAACAAGAATATAAAGTATACACTCCTACTTCTTCCTCCTCTCCCTATAACAAAACGGAAATCCCATTAAATTTACACCCTGCTCCTCTACTAAATGAATACTCGTAGAATTACGGATTATTTCGTTATCAGTACTGCTCTAATAATAGACCTAATCCCGAACTTTTAGATTTGTCGTGATGCAACTGCCTAATATATAAGAACTTACGTGGAAGTCACATCATTTTATACACCAACTCGTCGTAGCGTAACATAAACCAGTATATGGTGGAGAACACACTTAGGCTAGAGATAAAACAATATATTCAATATGAATAAAAGGTATAGGCTACACAAAAATGATCACGACTGTGAGGCCGAGTCATACCATTTGATTCATTTGGATTCTTTCAATATTTTTCCACTCGCCTTCCTCATCGTTGGTTTTTTATCCGCCTTAAATGTCGAATGTCTGTTTTCCCAGTCGTCTCGTGTTCAGCTTTGAGGATTATATGGTTAGGGCCCAATGCCACTACATCATCACTATAAGTGACACTACTGTTGACCAATGATAGCTCTGTACTAAATGACTCGACCCATGTACGCACACTTGTACTACCAAACAACCCTTCACTTATCATTATGGCGAAAAGTTGACTGTCCTCCGATATCTTGGACTCATATTTCCCGATAGATACCTATAAAGACTTCTGTTGTGATCAAGGCTTTGAAAAGGGTTTTGTTCTAAAAAACATCAATATAACAATCGATTGATCCCTGAATTCAGCATTTAACCATGAGAAATAATCTGCTCAAAATAATGAAATATCTTTAAAAATAGGAAATGAACCACCTACCCTGACGAGGTTGATTCACTCAGACAATGCGAATATGATCAATCAAGTACACGATCGTTCATTAATATAGCCATCGGAAATTAAACTTTTAATGACGAGTACATTTTCTTTTGCACGTAAATGGCTTTGCTAGTCCTTTGCCACCATGATCTTGTTACATTCTGATTATACCAAGATATAGTAAGTGGTGTGAGGTGAAATGGATGGTCCAGAGCTTTAAAATAAATTATAGAGATGATTGGTTTACAATTAGTCAGTCGCTGATAAATACTTCCATTTGGACTATGATGCATATTAGTCATGGTACATATGCATTCACGGTGGATATTGTTTAACAGCTATACATTGACCTCCTAGTCATCATTAGTTGTGAAGTTTAAGCATTCACACACTTCTATGTAACAGGTGATCAAGGTTTCAAAGCCATTTGGTCAAAATATAAGGCCTATAGCAACCAAGACTTTGAGACCTTTCCGACTTTGGATATAGTGTTCACTCTTCCAGAACATGAGTATTACATATAAACAACTAGCCAAAAATCTCACAGTATGAGAGAAATGAACAATAGACAATGGGTTAAAACAAAACATGTCAAAATGTCATGTCATGAACATTCTACTCCATTCGATAAAACAACGTAAGACCTCCATGGAAGCCGGCTCTCGATTGTCTCATCAGAGTGAGATATAGGACTAGTCATCATAGAGACCTTGGATACCAGCTCAAGTTATATCGGGGATCTAAACAAAGTAAGTGTAACTCTTGACATTTGTGCGAATAAAACTTGGCTCAATCACCCTAGAATTGTATACGGCATTGCTTAAAAAAATACGGCCCCATTACGTTCCTCAAAGAGACACCTGGAAGATCACACATCAAAGAACAAAACCAGGGTACTCCCACGCTTTTTCTCATGAGGAGCTGTCCTACGTATAATGCTTTCTAAGCCGAACTAACCACAGCACTCAGTGCACAGCTTCAAGAAGACACTGGATGAACGGATTAACATATCTGGCATGGACCAGCTGCATCTGATGAATTTTTTATAATTTAACTACTGCTATAATCATCACATAACATTCACTTATTCCTGTCCTTTTTATTGTCATCTCTGTTTCCCCTCTTATTCCTACATTCAGCCTCCTCATACCATCTGCATTAACCTAGTTATTTATTTATCGAAGCAATCGTCTTCTCCTAGCATTCAAATTCTCTGTTCATTGTTTCTAAAATTGACGCAAATGCTTCCGGTATCCAAAAGTTTAGCGTCTTTGAAGCAAACATAAACTGAACTATATATAAATCCATAAATAACTACCAAACTGACTAAATTAGTACATTTGAGTGGTCAGACAACTACTCAATGAACATTAGCGAATACCCATAACCGTATTGGGACAAGCGAAACAAGCAAAAATAAATCAACCAGTTTATACAAGCTTGTGAATTTTGGACTTTAGGATGATGGCATTGAGGTAATTTGGGGGTATTATCGAAAGGTGCGCTACTTTTCTAACGTGGTTTACCAAGCATGTCTGTGGACGTACCGTTCTAACTGGGTGGCGACGCTGCACTTAAACCACTAAATCCAAAACGTATTTGTAAATCTATTGAGGTTCGTCTGATATTTTTGTTCTAGCTACAAACATCTCCTTTCCTAACACGTTTTCAAGGCTACAGGTAACTTTATTGAGGCTTGCAGTGACAGTGAATGCTGCGTCCCTTCTTGTGTTACGTACGTTTAGTAACAACACCTAAACGGTTCCTAAAACATAAACGCCCTGGGGATAAGATGATTCCACCACCACACTCCATATCATTAACCGTTGTTGGCAATGGACGTGCTGGTTCCTCGAAATCAATGCTCATTGACACAGGAGTATGTCGTTATTTGGTCAACTGTGGTGAATCAACGCAAAGAGTCTTGGCAGAATACCGGTAATGATACTTTTAGTTTACCTAATATTAGAATGAAAACTTCGCGCATACAACATGTCTTTCTTACGCGTATGTCTTGGGATTGCACTTCTGGATTACTAGGTTAGTACAAATGCTAGTTGTACATATTTTGAGGTGTGGCATTGACTGCAAAGGCCGCAGGAGTTAAGAAGTTAACTATACATGGACCCACAGAACTAGTGAGTTATCCACTATACAAAATATATTGTATCAGCAAAATATGCACTTTCAATGTTATTACGAAATACTTATCAGGCAGCAGGTATTGAAAATCTAAGTTCGAATAAAAGTAATATTAGAATATCTTTTACAGACAGCGGTCGTTTTCCGTCGCTCAGATATCATTCTGTACAATGTTAAATATTTTAGGCTAATTCTCTTCACCGTCTTCACTGTTGGTTTAGAAATGATAATCAGCAAAGCTCTACTTCATAGCCAGGAAACATGACTATTTGTTAGTGATGGTAAATGTACTTTTTCTATTATTTCACGAAGGGATTAACTGTTTTTGCTACTAACGTTCGACATTGTCTAATATTCATATTCACCAAAGCAGTTACATTCATTTGCAACTATTCCTTATAATGCTTTCAAAAATTTTCCTGTTCTTTTCACCACCCTAATTTTGTACACAAATGGTGTATCCACTTTAAGTTTTGTTTTTAAAGGTATCTTTTTAGAAACTAATTAGATATTTAAATTTGGAAAATCACCTCTTATTAGAAAAGTCGTTAGGCTAACTAACCTAAATGAATCTTCACTTTGCATAGACGCTTAGATATGTCTGCTAAAGAAGCTAATATTAATCCTGCCCGCAAACGGTTCTATCTTGTCTAAAAGTTGTTTTAGAAGCAAATCCATTTAATTCTCTTACCGTTATACAGTAGCATGAAAAGTAATCGATCACAGAATATGGGAAAACGTTAAAAATTCATTCTTGTTTCTATTAAGTAAAAGGGACTAGATTATTGTAACTATGTAAAGTCTCGTCATTATTAGTATTCTGGATAAAACGTTTTGCTCAAGCCAAAAGCAATCTCAAAAATATTTTGGAGGTTGTCCTTGTAAACTTGAAGAAGCTATCTGACGGTGTTAATGCAATCCATCGGTTATAATTACTAGTAAGGTGGTGATATATGTTATGTCCTAGTATATTGCTTTTGTGTCTTTTGTTAATATTCCTAGACGTTCGTATTATGCAATTGAGACTAAGTATTTTAAATATTTTACACTCATCTATCGGACCATTAGTGCAAAAACCAACTCACTTCCGTTTTGAAATGTCTAGACATTGTATGAAACAGTTATAACCCAAAACCTGACACAGAAGTCTGTTCTTAGTAATTGAAAGGGATTCCTTCCCTCTCATTGTTTCTATCGTGATTCAATAGTAAGTTTTCTATTTACTTCGTAAAGAGGGATAGTTTATCTGATTACTCAAGCCAAACATTACAATCAGCTCTAGACCTTTGTGTTCGATAGATCAACTTCAGTATTATGAATAATAGTTATGCAAACACCTAACATTTGATCCTAAAATTCTAGGTCTTGAAATAGATCTTAATTTGTACGTCTGTTATAGTTCTGTGTCAAAAATATATTGTGTTTGATTTCCTGTCACCAAGTTTTGATCTTTATTTCATATTTGATGATTAGTAATATATTTTTATAATTATGCCTAAGCAGTCCTTACAAATTTACAAATCTAAATAATTATGAGGTCATTTTGGATGATAACTTACAAGTTTTCAGGTCAATTGAGATCCTTGTACTTCATGCACATTATTTGCATTAAAATTTTTTTTTATGCCCTTAGGAACATTTGATGCAATTGACTCGTCCGTTCACTGATTGTAAAACAACCGATATCGGTAAGTTTTTTCATGCTCTTTAATCAAATAGCCCTCTTTTATGATCATAAGCTCACTTTTCCATTAATCATATAGCTGCATCTTAGCCAGTTCTTTGCATACTTTTTAATATCGACTCAATTTGGTGTTTTCTCTTCGTTTCAGTCATGAGTGAAATTCATAAGAAGTGTTACACTGATGATGCATTTCGCGTACAATCTTTCCAAATATTCAAGCCAACAAACGTAAATGAAGAACCAGGCAAGCTTTTACTTATTGAACATTTTCCTAACGTTTAGTTGTTACATTAAAACTTGGTAAACAATATCCCCAACTCAACCTATTGCCTGAAACATATATTCCTTTAGGTCTTACCATGTCATACAATAACAATGTCTTCGAAGACATTATCGTTTGCAATGACACGGGTGCATTCGTTCTTTTTCTTCCTATAAGTTCTGAAATTCTAAGTTTCTCATAACTTTTTCTGTTTTTACTTCACTAATTTAAATTTTCTCGAATCGCGTCTTTGATGTTTAATCTTTCCGATTACTACTGATACTGTTAGTACCTCTACTATCCATGGATTTGGCTCGACGGGTTGTTAAAGTTAAAATATTCAAGAACATGATTTGCAATAGAAGACAGGGTATTTGTGGGATTTTTTTTATTATAGAGAGGGTTTCCTGTGATTTGGTCGGGTGAAATTTCCACCATTAGGATCGATGAACAGAATACCAATCGATAGATAAACGTAATAATATGGTGTGACCGAGTGATGGCTTCTCATGACACCGTATAGTTGGCTTAGGCCCTCGAATGGTTAGAACTCAAAGACAAGACCACTAGTCAGACGCATAGTTTCATATAATAGAACAACACTTATCTGCAAAATATGAACACAAAATAAACATGGTAAAATGCCATAGGCTATTGGAAGAAACTAGCTAGCAGGTCACTCATTCTCTAATAACTTAAAATATAACTGGGCATCGTATGTTTCTTAGTATGTTTTCCTTGTTTATCTCAATCATTGTTATTCTTCTTGTCAAAAGCATTTCTGTATCTAAAATCGTAGAACAGATTCGAGTACTATGCTGTTGCGTACATTGTGACTGATGTTTTTGATATTTTATCTTGTAGTCTACAAACGACGAAAAGAAAATCTGGGTAATGTATCAGAATCTAGTGTTTTTATATACTACTTTCAGGTTAGTCAAATGAATAGATAGATATCCACACTTTTGTTTCATGCATGATTTATAGTTCACCATCGTTTTACTAAAGATTATGTTAAAACCCATAAAGATCTAGTGTTTCAATTCGCTCTTGTTACATAAACAGCTTAAAAACGTGTTTGATATTTTTGCTCGGTAAAGTTTACAGCTTTTAAATACTTTGAGATTGAAAAGACATGTTCAGTCTTTTGTTATCCAACTCATTCAGTTACAACGTAAGACTTAGGTACCCTTATTGCTGCTCAGTACTCCTTAAATACCACTTCACTCAACTAGTGCCCAAAACATGAACACGGCTTGGACAGATATGTAATTATATTCCACATAAATCAAGTTGATTGGGAGTCACTGTAAGAAAAGCAGTATATCTATAACTATACACGAGGTTCTATAATCTTCATTTGTCAGCCAGTGCTGATTGGCTAGAAATGGGCCAAATTAAAACTTTTCTCCGTTTAACTTATCAAAGACTGGATACTTTGTCTGCCAAAAATCCTGTAATAATCCAGATGATGAAATATCAAAACTACAGTTAAATCTGTCTGTCAAACCTTCTCTGCATTGTTTGACTCACATCTGCAAAATCTTAATTCAAGTATCATTTATAGGCGGAAATTTGGTTGATATCCTTCTTTAGTAAAAAAGAACTACCTTCACATTAGTCTAGTCTTTGAAAGATCAAATTAAGCGGAATTCTACTATTATCATTCCCAACTATTTCAACGTCATATTTCATAACAAATTTCCATTCATATTCAATTACAGTAATTATATTTTAATTCCTTTTCTGTTTTATCGCTGTTTATTAGCCATTTCGTACACGTCGTAAGTTGATCATGTCAAAATTCAATGAAGCATGTATACCAGCGTAAGTCAGTAGTAGCCTTTTAAATCTAATTCTACCACGTCTTCCTAATCCCAATTTTTGAGACAGATTTTTGAAATATCGAATGAGTTGGTGCAAACTTATTGTTTACTACACATTAATAATAACCCGTACGTCGGTACCCTAATAGTTATGGTGTTCTACTCTCAACCATTAAGTTGCAGGTTTGAGTTTCGCTCCACCTACTATTATCTGGACAGGTAGGTAGTATCACTATCCTTCGCACTTGTGTCCAAACATGAGTACAGCAATCTTTGGTAGACAAATGACTTACATCATTATTAGGTCACGCAGTTTGTGATCCCACTCTAACTACTGAGGTTCGAACAGCCGGTTTGCGTCACTGGGCTTCACACAAAGTGTGACTTAAAAATAAGCACACTAATTCGTAATTGATATAAAATTTACACTGTTAATCATAAACAACCCTTCAGTTCATACGGTTTGTAAGATGCCAAATTATAATAAGCGCATTGGGAAATGACTGCCAATACGGATTTTTAAAAAATTACATTTGAAGCTTTTTTAAACTTGTCACTGTATGACAAAATAATGCGAAAAATCCGACAGGTTAACCTTTTGCTAGCTACTCATAATTAATCTGTTGAAATTCAATGAAGTCCTACTACTCAGTCATCATATCTATCAGGACTATCGTAATTTTCTTTTGATAGCCTAGTTGGAGACAAATATCTTACACCTTAATCTCTGAGTTTGAGGTAGTTTATTCTGAGGTGATGAAGATAAATATTTATGCATCTCAAAGTAATT